TTAACAAACAAAAGCAATTCATTTATCCATGCTTGGATCCAGATTTTGTATTTAATTCTCCAAAGAGTGTGCTTCTCTCTCAGGGTTCTGTACAAGAATCACCATCGCATGTTCCAGTGCTATGAGCAGCTACTTGGTCGGCTAACATAGCCCTCAGCTTCAACAGCTCAACTGGAAATAAAAATAAGAGGTTAAACAATTATCACCTCAAAATGAAAAAGGACAGAAGATATCCAAGGGATCGGGAAGCATTTAACGATAGAGAAGATAATCTGGAATTGTCAAGGTGAAGATTATTAAGTAATCATCTTTGGAAGACAGCGGTCCAGAAGTGTAACTCCTTGGCTTTCATCACACCTTCCCTTGTAGGGAATCCATAATCCAATTATTTGTAGTAGGGTTGTTCATTTAAACGGTTGCCATTCCTCAAGATTGAGCGGGTTATTGACTTCAAGAGGGACAAATTTGATTGAAATATTCATTTGCAATCATTTACCGCTAATCAAGGGTTTTTTCGGGAGAAGCATCGTATCCACCCCCATGTTTTAGATGTTCTGACGTTACTTTGTTTGAAATCAAACATTTTGGAGAGGTACTTTTTAATTTGCTCAGACAACGATGAAAGCATAATTTACCTGAAACCCTTTATAATATAGAGGTGGGCCTTTCCAACCGTCAAAGACAATCCTAATAGTACATCGAGATCGACAGTCTACTAGGAGTTCAAAAGGCCCATGAGATCATGGCCAAGGAGATCCACAAACTAAAGTAGACCTGCAATCGTGGCACAACGATATGCGTGCAATGACGGGCGATTTAGCACTAACGGTCGTCTTTACTAACATAATCATAAACAGGTTTCTAAAATGCCCCCTTGACAAATTATAAAAAACATTTCAAGAAAATTAAGATCGTTCTGGGGGCCAAAAGTGTGAACCCGATTTGCCCCATAGACAATGCGTGTAATGCATGGGCGGAAAACGTACAGGATCTGTATTATGACCGGACGCTATTTTAGAGCTATTTAAAGTTATTTCGGAATTTTCTTGAAAATGGCGAATTTGGAGGGCAATTTTCTCAAATTTGGTCAGTGTTAGGTTATATAATTATGTAAAAGGCTGGAAAGGGCATATCTGCAAGTATCTAAATCCAAAAAAGGGTACGGGTTTGCCAAGACACAATAGAGATACGGCCACAGAAAGAAAGCCAATCCTAGAACTTTATAGGGGGCTATTTATTTTTGCATAGTCATTGGAGCTTGAAATTTGGCATGGTCATGTGTAATTATGAGATAAAGAAACTGTGAGATTTAAAAACAAAACAGAATTTATATGAGAAAGTTATGGCAGATTTAGATTTTTAGGGGTCCATTTTTCAAGGATTTTAAAGATTTTTGACGGAGTCGGTTTCAGATTTAAATTTCGAGTACGAAGATGGCATTTTGAAGGTCAAGTTACTCGTCGCAGATGAAAGAACATCTCTTAGATTATCTAGAGAAATTTGTTAGAAGTTTGTAGGATCTAGGATAGTGGAGATAGGAAGGAGGAAAGAAAGGCCTTAAAATGGACCAGAAACGGACAAAATGGCGCCTAGGACGGTTATGCATGAGTGATTATGTAAATCGAAGAATGCAGTGACCTTGATGAGATGTTAGAGACTATGCCTATGAAATTTGAATGGAAAAAGACATGAGAAAAGCACCTAACTAGGAATAACAAGCACTATGTGCAAAACGAATGCGATTTCCTGACGATAAGGAAAACAAGGAAAAGGAGGAGAATATTAATGGGGCAGAATGTGAACGAAAACATGGCAATGACGAAGGTCGTCATTGCAATTATTAATAAGAAGAATTTGAACGAAAACAAAGCAATGACGATTTCGTCATTGCAATTAATGGGGCAGAATGTGAACGAAAACAAGGCAATGACGATTTCGTCATTGCAACTAGAACTGCAATCGTGGCACAACGATATGCGTGCAATGACGGGTGATGTGGCACTAACGGTCGTCTATACTAACATAATCATAAACAGTATAATACGGTGTCTAAAATGGGATTAACTTACAATTTTGTGTGTGAACATATACTTTACTTCGTATCATTCGAAAGGGCACTTCATGGTGGTCAGTTTGGCACCATTGTCATCTGCGCGCAACCTACTGCACGCATTAAACGCGCTATTACGTAATGCATAGTAAATTCATTATTTTGGGCGATAACTTTGCTTTGACATAATCGAATTATACCAAACTTAGCAGATAAAGATTATTTTTCGAAAGTACACTGTCGCTCATAAAGGTGGAATATTTTAGTTTTATCCTAATTTATGGAATTATTTTAAAAATTATTTAAAAGTAATAGATCTACATAATAGTATACATACAAAAATATTCTTAATCTGCTAATTTTGGTATAATTCTATTATGTCAAAGCAAAGTTATCGCCCAAAATGATGAATTTACTATGCATTACGTAATGGCGCGTTTAGTTGGGATAAAACTAAAATATTCCACATTTATGAGCGACAGTATATAGTTGGGAACGTGTGGTACGTACATCTTCAAATCTTTGCAACGTAATGTACAAGAATTGGCGTAGCGAGGGGGATGTTTGGGGTTTTCCAACACCCCCTCCCCTGTCAAACAGGGAGAGTTTTTTATGTTGATACCTCCCCCCCCCCCCCCCCCCCCCCCTTGGCGAGAGGGGGTGTTTTAGAATTGGTAAGTCACCCTTTATCTTTTTTTTTTAATCTATGCCTCCCCCCCCCCCCCCCGGCAAGAAAAAGTTAACATATTTGTTTATTTTGTTGATCAAGGGTGGCCGGGTACATGTTGAGGGGGGGAGGAGTTTACACCCCCCCCCCCCCCCCGCCTCCCCCTCGGGGTGTTTTAGGTGTTCAAACTACTTTCCTATATTTTGACAGTACTTCAATTCTCTACAGTAATTATGTATCATAACTCACCAACTATTTGTTCATCCGGAGCAAAATCAAGAATTCTGTGGTTACAAACATCAAGCCTTTGACCAGGCTTTCTGCTGCACAAATCTTCTATGGCGCTATTCAAGTTTCATGCCGCTACAGTATTCATTTCTTTATTCTGCAGATGTCCTAAAACTACCCCATAACTATAACTAGGCGTACTGAGGCTGCATGCATGTATACCTGCTATAGGTTGACTATGCGGCCAACGACTGTTTTTTAAAGGTTTAGCACTGATCTGCACAAACGGGTAGGTGCATGTGGCATGGATGGAAAAAGATTATCACTCCTTTTTATCTTAAACGATCCTAAAGTTTACCTAAATTTTCCTAAAGAGAGTTCCTAAAACAAACAAAATGGGAGCCATCCAAAAGTGGAAAGTAGATTTGTTATACACTGTTCTTTGTTCTGATATTGGAAGAGTTTGTGTCCAGCTGGTACATAGTAATGATCATGGCAGCACAGCTAAAGCCGGGGTAATAATCTCTAAGTTTGGAAGCACTTTATAGGGAATGTAATAAGCGCTATATAAAAATTGAGTATTATTATTATAATGACTAGGAGCTAAAACCTATCATAATCATCTTGAACTTAAAATTTTCCTTAGTTGTAGTCATTTTCAAAATTATCCAGCCTTTTTTTCATTTTGTTTGTTTGCTGGGGGGGGGGGCGCTAATGCTACAATATTTCACATAGTGAAGCACGCAGCAGCAATCTGCATTGTACATGCAGTCATACGAATAAGATTGTAGCATATAAGCGTACAGTAGTATACGATGTTTTGTTAAAATTATAATTGTCAAGATAATTTCTGGCAGCTATACTGAAATCTCTTGAAATCACATAAATGGTTTATATATGGATATAATCTTGCAAATAACTATCCACGACATCCGCTACATAGTTATTATTTCATAATTCCTGCAGTTATATTTCTAATCAAGTTAAATGTTTACTTTATTTGGCAAAACCTATTGGCATGTTACAAGCTCCAACACTGTGTAAAACACATCAACCGATGTTCTGGTGGATTCAAAGTCTCGCCGTCTCGTCTGTGGTGAATAGCACTACAATGTCAATATTAATCTTGGCAAACCTATTGTCCAGAATTCCATTTGTCCTTGGTTGCTTTCATACCTGCTCAATCTAGCAAAACGTGGGCTTTAACTCGTTGTGCTATTTGTTGTTATACTACCAGCCCGTCGTATGAAGCATATGAATAGCCAAACCACCAAAAGAATCTTCTTTTAAAGGGCCACTCTAACCCAACTAACATAGCCTTTTAAAACAAGAATACACCTCTACTTATTTATATTCCAGCCTCTGATTTTTCAGAAAATCTCTGTATTGACCAAAAAATGATAATAACCATCCATTTTCACAGTTCTCACGCTTGCTAGGCTACGCCCCTCGAAAAGGGTTTTACGGTCACGTGGCCTTGATGACGCATTCGACGTCATTGAGGGCATGTCCGATTTGTCCTACAAGTAAGGATTTTACAATTTTATTGTTATTCATAAATGAAACGTATTGGGTCAATTATTTTACGGATAAATGTTTTTTTTTCTTTCTTCAATTTATATCATAGTTTGCCTTCTTAATGACATTTAATCAAAGAGATTCGATCATACATAGTATGTCCTCCGTAGGAGGACTAGAGGGCCAACTAAAATCGTGACCTTTGACATTCCATAGGTTTTGCATTGGATGCATTATGGGGGTTTTGTCCGATTTGAACGACGGTTTTGGAGGGTCAATGAATATTCATGAGCAATGACGTAAAAAATACGCCAACTACTGTTTGTTGATTGGCCATCGACAAAATGTTCTATGTATTAGGTCATGCATAAAACATTTTTTGCATTCCCAGAATTCCCTACGATTTGAGCACGAAAATGGCGGTTGTATGAACTGCAACTTTCAAGTTATTCAATTACGAACAATGAAACATTTTTCTTTTAAATGAATTTCTATTATAATAGAAGTTTGTCAAGTACATCTCAGTGAAGCAGAAAATCTTCAGGCGAACATTGACATCGAAGTGATACCCTATGATATCAAGAAAAGTAAGTAAAGATCCATTTTGTGTGAAGGTCTCTGAAATGATTGTGATGTGTTCGTCATTGCAGTGAGGGGCTCTCCGCATTGTCACAACGTATTACCCGGTTAACCCCCTAACCCATCCTCTTTTCTTTCTTCTGACCAAAGAATATTAACTGATTGAATGAACTCTAATATATAAGTCATCGACGGTAATATTTTTAGAAACAATCAGGATTTTACCGTAGGTTATTTCATTAGAGCACATCTCATAATTTTAAGTTCAGTTCATAGCTTGATTACCGATAGTAATCGGTCGTAGATGTGGACCTGTTGTAGACTGCGCAAATGGCTCATTGCTATAGTCCAAGCCGACGAGATCTCGTCGAGCGGTTTATGATTTTCAATTCGCCGGTGCTAGCCGCCTGTAACACTCCACCAAGAAGCGACTGCGTTTCCTGAGCTGGCGCGGCTAACCATATGGAAACGTTGTATCATCCGCTCAATCTGACTTGCGTGCATAGACAAAATAAGCATTTTTCTATGAAAAAGTGAAGTTTTCTAAAATTTGCGTTTCTTTCCAGCATTGGGGCGCCCGGAATTCACTCGGGTAACATTTCATAAAGTATAATATAAAAAGACCATATGCAAATTTTCTATACTTTTGTCGGAAAAAATACATTTATCCAGCACAATGTCGTATCTTTTTGCGTTGGAGAAGAGCAAATAGCGAGTTTCAATCACACTTTGGCCGCTCTCGCAAGCTCTCACTCGTGTCACTGTGGTCAAGAGACTTTGGGGCAAGCGGTTAATGAAAATACTAATCGTTAGCTTTCTTCTGGTATCAAACTTGTTTTGATTGATTGTATAATTTTGTCGGAATAAAGGAAACAAAATAAAGGGCTCGACCAATAACTTATCAGCGTCTGAATTGACCTTTTGACCTTGAATTCCCTGATGCAAGCGCACTAATGACGTCATCTTCGCTAAATCGGTGTCTTTTATCGTAAAATGCGACACTTTCACAATGTTTATACATCTTTTTTCAATTATTAGTAAGATATAACATATTTTTTCTGATATCACTGAAGTTTTGGGTTTTATTTAATGAGTAATTTTAAAATAAGAGCCATTTTACTGTTTTAATTTACTGGATCGTACCATTAAAGTCGCAGGGTAGAAAGATGCATTTTCCAACCGCGCCAAATTTAATTTACGTTCCGACATTCTGTTAAATGTGTACGTGTTGTTAAGAATCCACTGCTTTCTGCTCCAACAAACGTCCACATGCGGAGTCGTTTATCAACTAAATTATTCAAATTTATGGATGCTTCCTAGCTTCCCAGGTGTTTGTGCTGCTGTTGAAGCATTTCATTCACCTGCTATCATTCTTTGTACCCCAATTGCCAGAACGCAAATTTCATTTTGGTTTTATAGTTTCATCGGAGTCGTTTATCAACTATATGTATTCAAATTTATGAATGCTTCCTCCCCAGGTGTTTGTGGTGTTTATGCATTTCATTCACCTGTTATTATTCTTTGTACTCCAATTGTTAGGATACAAAATGCATTTTGGTTTTATAGTTTCATGCAATAAGTAAGTCAATAAAAGAGTATGTTCTGCACAATAAAAACAATGTGTGTCCCTATTGTACAATGTAATGTGTCCCCTCATTTTGTAATAGTTAATTTACCCATTCACATAATGGAACTACCTGCCCGATGAAGCCAGTGGACTGTGACCCCTGAGAACTCAACACCGTGTGGGAGTCAGTTCGTGGTCAAATTCTTTTATGAGACAAATACAAGCAAACGTTTCCATATGTTGCAATGTGTTACTGTAAAGCCTAAGCTAGCTGCCTACATAGCATAGTCTAGCCTGAATGTTCTGTCTCTTTCGTTCGTTAGCCTCTGATTTGGGTAGGGTCGGCTCCTCTCTTTAGCCGACCCTACCCAAATCAGAGGCTAACGAACGAAAGAGACAGAAAAATTCGGGCTAAGCAGAGCCTAGCCCTAGGGCTAGGCCTAGGCTAGGCTAGGTCTAGTCTAGATCTAGCACTTAGATCTAAGTATAAACAGCATTTAACCCCGCATCTAGTATAGGGTTAGATCTAGGGCTAGATTCTAGGCCTAGCCCTAGGCCTAATGCATTCTAATTTTAAAAAAAAAAGACTAAATAAATGCCTGGTTTAGGTGGGTCAATGTGGAAGTAATGGAGGGGGGGGGTGCACAATCATTCTGTGCCCCCTTATTCAGATGTGGCATAGGGACGGGTCTAGATCTAGGTCTAGAGCCCCCTAGGGTCTACTAATAGGCAATAAGATCTAGATCTATAGCTTGTGTTATGCCATAGCCTAGCAAAGACTTCCATAGCCATGGGTCTAGTCTCGTTTTTGCTCCACTACTACTACTCGTGCGCATGTGTCATTATTGTGATCCAGGTCCAGATTCAGCTTAGTTTTAATGTAGATCTAGGCTAGATCTACCAACAACAACAAAAACAAAACAAAAAAGGTATCTCCTCCCCCCCCCCCCCCCCCTCCCCCTCCCACTTCCCCTGATTTCGCTCTTAGTTATGTCATTGTGCCTTGTTTGAAATAATTAGTTTATTTTCAGGATTTTATGCCACCCCTTTTATGTTGGTGAGAATTCTGGATCCAACCCTACATATGACATGGATATTTCTTTCTCTAAAGGACATGAACAAAGTTATAATCTGATAACTAATGCATGCATTTGATATTAGCAGGAACCTTACTAAGTTTCTGTTTTCTTTTAATTGTAGATCCTATGGAACAAAGAAGCAGATAATGATCACAGAAGTGCAACAAAGAGCACCAGGACCTGATCATCAAATGTTATGGTGTAGATCTAATCAGGAACAAGACACCTAAGTTGAACTCTGGCAAGGTATGTTTGTATAAACTTCGAAAATATTCAGGCTGTATAATCTCGACTTGGACTATATATACAAAGATTTGGGGAACTGTCATCTTGTGTTGCATTATATCTTGTAATTCTCATTTATTCTCTAGCTTTATTTAGGTGACAAACTATGGTGTTGGCTTGTTGCTACAGTTTATTCTCTCAGCATATTAAAAGACATACTCAAAGGCATTGTTTCCTAAATATTACATTATATCTAACAAACTTTTGTTCACAAAAGTCTAGCAAATAATAACTTAAAATAAATTGGAAATTACTTTAAAAAATAATTGGAAATACATCTAAACCTTTAGGCCTACTCTTCTCTTCAAAAAAGGCCCTATCAGATAGACATAAGTTTATCATTTTTTAATAAAATTAAAATGCAAGACCTAAAAAAAGTGGGGAGGTACTATTTTTGAAAATCCAATATAATGCAGCAGTTTTAATCTTATTTGATTTCTCCTCTCTTTTTTTTTTTATTATTCAGGTTGTCCCATGCAGAAGGTTTGATACCCAGGCTTCTTTTGTACAAGTCCCTAGTCCACCCTCATCTTGAGAACTGTTCCGGTGTCTGGGATCCCTACAACATCTCAGATGTCCAGGACGCTACTTCACAATGGGGACCACAAGAGAAGCAGCAGTTTGACTGAGATGATCAGCACCTTTTAGTTGCCTACTATATCTACAACTACAAGGCACTCTGCAAGAAGACTGGGAATGGTGCACAAGATAGTCAATGGTCTCTCCGCTCTTCCTTGAAAATTTTCCCACTGCACTACTTATAGCTACTTGCGCCCTCTATATAGCAAACAATGCCTAATCTGTGCCTGTTGGTCCCCCATGATCCTCTTTTTCTTATATTAATTGAGAGCTGATTTGATGAGATAACCACCTGTCAGTGACCTTGCAGGGTGGTCTTATCCCCCTGGCCAAACTAGTACAGACAGGCTTTAACAAATCACGAGCAGGAAGTACCATGACATGACCCTCCAGTTGCACCAAGCCAGAAGCGACATAGGTAGACAAGTTTGTATTTGCCCAACACTCTGTCCCAAAGTTAATGGAACTGACTTCCAGCAAATATAATGCATGCTGACAGTCCAGAGAACTGCCAGGAACTACTTCTGAGGCATATACTCTCCTTATCCCACTTAGAAACAATCTGTCTTCCTCACACCACTTGTAATCTTTAGTATTAGTTCATCTTCGTGATAGGCTACAACGCCTTTTGAAGATTACCAGAAGAAGAAGAAGAAGATATATCGAGGATCATGAAAGTAATCAATTTGTTCTTTTAAATGCGTGTACATGTAACATAGTTTTTTGATATTTAATCTTAAGTCAAGTTCTGACAAAAATATGAGGGATGCTGAACTGGATAGTAAATTGAAGGGGGGGGGGGAATAAAATGGTGTAGTTCAATAGTAATTAAGACTGTATTAATATAATTAATATTAATAATAATAACAATATTAAAAATAGTAAGAATAATGACAATGATCATGATAATAGCAGTAATAATAATGATAATACAGGTAGTAGTAAAAACAACAACAATAATGTCCAATGTAAGATAAAGTACTCATAAAACTCAGTATATACCTGTGCTTTACATAATAAAATAGCATGTTGATATTATTGAATATTTTTTTCTTCAAAATCTACAGTAAATTTTTACAACTGAAAGATTTGAATTCAAGAGACAGCACCCCCCCCCCCCCCATCCATTTGTCATCCTTTTGTTGATGTCATGTTGGATTTAAAAAGACTTTATAGAAACAAAATATGTTCATAAATGAGTTCATAAATGTTAATAAATCAGTTAATACTGCTGAATTCTGTTCTTTTCATTTTCTTATTTTGTGAAATATATGTGACGATGCTGGTGATTATGATGATGTAGGCACTAGGCACTCTGTAATGATAATGCTGTATGACTGAGGTGAGATGGGGGCTGATGCAGTCTTGTGTAGAATTGAGTATGGTGTTCGACCTTTTGATGTTTGTTTATATCTGGCATCAGCGAGATAGATTTAACCATCTTTCCTGATGAGAGAGAAAGCGGAAATGTAACAAGAGAGTGGGCAAGACTAATGTATAAATGCAGTATAAAAAATGGTTTACAATAAAGATGAGGGGGGGCCGGGGGTTAAATAAAGAATAAGTCTATGCCGAAATGATGAAAGCATAGGTAATTGGGGTAATAGAGCCTATGGAAATGTCACTATTAGAAGGGGTCCCTGTATTGAAAATGTTACTGTTGGGCGGGGGGGGGATTTGAAAAAAAATCAGTGGCGACGAATGCAAGAATGAAAAGAACGAGACAAAATTGAAATTTCATTGGGGATGGGGCACAATATGAAGATCATTGAAGTCGAGGTGAGAATGATTCATTAATTGGACACTAAAAATATGAAAATATCACTTGTTAAGTGGGCTAAATGATCAGTGCAATTTGTCTGATTTAAAAAATATTTAAGTTAATAAACGAACAAAAAAAAGAGGTAAAAAATGAATTGAGTGAAATGGGGTCATTATTTTTGCCTTTTAACTGAACTGAATTTAAAAAAATGTACTTTCCATCCTGGTGACAGTGAAGTTTGTGGCCCCAACTAAGGCAACCATTTAAAAGTCCCCCCCCCCCCCCCCCCCCCCCCTCCCCCGCACCTCCCCAACTCTGACCTTTGTTCTACATTTATCCGGCCCAATTAGGATTCTGTCGATATAGTAACGCATGCGCATTGTTTTTTTTTTTCATTGCGATAATATGCTAATAAGTGGAAAAGAGCTCATGAATATTCAAAATTTTAATTTAAATATTTTGCGCGCTGCGCGCAGTCCAAAATCCCCATTTCGCTGGTGCACTAAAAATTTGTCGTCTTCATAGGCTAATACACGATAAGTGGAAGCAGTGTGCACTTTTGACCCTCCAAAATTTCCCCATGGCTAGACGGATGCAGAAGCGGAGTTGAACCCCCCTGTTGGTGGACTAGACTAGCGCCAGCTTTTGTCCATATTTAGATTAATCACTTTTCACATCAGAATTTCGACGGGACCAGCCAAGCATCTCACAAAATACATGTAGATCTCACCCTTCCGCGTATACAACTGTTATTGACGTAGATCTATTCCTTGGTAAGTAAAAACAGTACTTGTGTTTGTAATAATGTACTGATATTAATGAAACTATGTGCTTATTTAGCTGCATTGATGCAATCATGCACGGCTGCGTCGCGTAGTTGAAGAATTAAAGGCCAATGTTGATGTAATGTGCCGCCCAAGTCTCGGCGATCCATCCGCTGACAAGCTGGTAGTGGGCGCTAGCTGAGCTGCGAATGGTCGCAGTCCGTGTCACATATCCTTTACCTTTACCCGAGATTCTGGAAGAATGCTGTGTTCTCAGCAGTCGGGCTTCCAGTTCAATTTCATGTTCTTCCTTCTCGTAGTTGGATGTCTTCATCTCGAATTGCAAACATTTTAAAATCCATATGACCATGATGCATGACAATTGACATGATTGTTGACAATGAAAAACATGATGAAAGGTCAGCACAGCAGTTTTTACGATTTTTATGTTCATTCCAGAAAAAACTTGTTAAAAACATGAATGTCTGGTTGCATGTTGATTATTTTATGATCTAGGCCTAAAGCTTTGTAAATTGTATCAACTATCATGTAGTGGAGACAAAGACATACAAAGTGACGAATGCTGAACACAACGTTGCCAAAAGTTAAGTTAACAATAATTCAGGCCCTTTTGTTTTAAATTTAATTGTCAATGTGAATTTGCCATCATAAAAACCCCTTCACACAAATTGTATTCATGAAAGTTGAAACAATCCTTACTTAGATTTATTGGTGAGTTTAAAATGCACAATGGGATCTTTCAGTTTATTTAATTGTGAGTAACTTCAAAACTCCAACTCTATTAGCCCTTAACAAGGAGACAACGACTTTAGAAATAATTATCATACTTCTTGTTATTTTGATCATTAGAGTGGAAACATTCCAGAAGCAACGACAACGACAATCTATTGACTATTTTAGGGAACCTTGAGGTCAGAAGACTTGTGTTTGTCAGCCGTTTGTTTGCATCATCATCATGGGTCACTTGTTTTCGTCCGAGGCAGTAAACATGGAGGGCAAAGAGGCAACTTTTATCAAAGGTAAGATCATCAAATACCGGTGTTTGAGTTTAATTTAAAGCTAATCTTGAGCTCTGGTATGGATATCGTATTCTGAGAGAAGATCGCTATGATTTATTCTAGAGTCTTTATCCTGCAGTAGATTGGTTGATTTAACCAGTGGAATAAAAACAAACCCACAACAAAATTACTGGGCATCATCTTCGATAAAAACTACATCTCCCATTTGCACTATATGGTGTTTGGCCTACTTTAATACCAGGATTTCTGTATCTTTTTATGCTCATTACTCAGCCACTACTGGTATGCATTTTCTACCAAAATTGTTTGGCACATGTCATTTATTTGTAATCTTGAACATTCAGTCTAAGTTTTGTTGGATTCTGTCAGAGTTTTTTATTTTTATTTACCAGAGCTGAAGTTTATCTTCAAGGGTTCCATACAATTCCACACTGCATGCATGCATGTATATTTTCTTTCTCTACCTTACTGTTATATTCGTCTCCTTTTTTCTTTTCTCTCTGTTTACGGTAATATGTCTTTCTCCTTTCATGGAAACTCTCTCCCCTCCCCCCCCCCCCCCCCTCTCCCACCCATTTCTCTTCCATTTTCTTTTTTTTCTTCACAAGTTACTTGGATTTAGTTTTTTATTATTTTCTTTCTATATCAAATTTGTTCCTACATTTATGTTTCCCTATCTCACTTCTCTTCCTTGTTCATCTCGCATCCCCTCATTCTTTTTTTGTTCATCCATTTTTATCTCTCTCTCCCTCTCTTTCTTTCTAGTTTCTACCAGAATTAGTTATTCTTTATTTTCTCTTCATACTCGTTATCCATTGGTCTATAGACAGTTGAGTTCTAGCTACATGTATAATAATGATAATAATAATAATAATAATAGCCTAATAGTCCACTCCAAATTTTATTAAATTGAAACGGATATTCTTTTTGTCCAATTGATCGTGAGCCCGGCAGCCACTGAGCAGCGCCAGATCGACGTTGCTCTATCCCTTATTGTTGAACGCCAAACAAGTATAGGCCTACCGTACACAATAAGGCTGTGAAGGGTAGTCAAATGCTCGAGTACCCGCACGGTTGACAACTACTCGGGTACGATTTCTCGTACCCGAATATTCGGCCGCAAAAAAAAAAAAAAAAAAAAAAATTTAAATGTCCAGGCCGACGCATACCCGTGCCTGGGTGAGCGGCGGCCGCTGGCATGGTGCCGTCGGTAAAAATGTTTCCCAACTCAAGCACTGTCAAACTCACCACTCAGAAACTGGGACCAAATGTCTGGATTTCTGCTTGGACTTGGAGGAAAATCGATTATTCTGCCATCCTTGGTTTTTAAAACAGCATTGTTCACTGTTATTATTATTATTAAATCGGCGCCTTCAGCTACAACTCAAAGTAAAATTGCATGCGTTTTCGGCGACAGAACTGGGATACTGCTCCAGTGGTATGTATGGTGGTGGCAAAAAAAAAAATTAAAAAAATAAATAAAAAAAATAAAAAAATTAAAAAAATTAAAAAAAAACAAAAAAAACATGGCGTCCGAATACTCGAGTATTCGCTTGTAAACATAGGAGTGTACTCGGGTACCTCATTACACTGTTGTGCACAGCCTTAGTACACAAGATTATTTCTGTAGTTGATTGATTGATACAGTTACAAAATTCATCAAAGGTGTAAATACTGATTTTGAGGGAGGAGCTAGCCAGAAAAAGGGATTGGGGGGGGGGGGGGGGTTGGCTACAGTTCCTCCTCCAGCCATCAAATGTATCAACGATAACCTAAAGTACAAGTAACCTTTTTTATTAAAATATATGAATTTTACATCATGAGTCTAGTCTGAATAACAAGCACTTGTAATTTTTTCAAGTGGCAAAATGTGGTGATACCTTTGTAAGTACAAAAAGAGTCAATTAGTTGTGTACTCACAAGAGTGAGTATTCCTGATTTACCGTCCTGTAAAAACTCTTTGTGTTTGCAGACTGCTTCTGCACTTCCTGGTTGTTTACTGCATAAATGATCATCTAATTCCAATTTATTCTGTGTAGATATTCCTTGTAGTTGGGAAAAGATGACAAGTTCTTGTCATTGTTGTTTTTTATCAAGATTTCAAAATTACAGATAAATTACAAGTCCATTCAAAGCTGACAAGACATATCAACAAACCGACAAACAAAAAATCTAAATGATGTGATATACCATATATTAGGATTAATATAAAACTATTTTACCTGATTTTTTTTTTCTTAACCAGGTATCACACATGATAAATGTGTAGTAGTCTTCTCCAAGACTCACTGCCCATTTTGCCACAAAGTCAAGACAATCTTTGAGGACTTCGGCGCCAACTACGAAGTGGTGGAGATGGATAAACGTTCCGATACGAGTGCAATGCAAGCTGTACTTGGAAAGATGACAGGTGCTTCCACGGTAAGAGTTCAAATTTCCATTCGATGTGGTTTATTAGAAATTATACATACAGTACATGTAGTAGTAGTCCAGGGACTACAGTAATTACACAATGTTTACCATGTAAAAAACTAAAAATGGTCTTTAAAATAGGACCATCAATCACAACAAAAACTTAATTTATAAGAAGTTTTTAAAAGTAATGTACAGTATACAGTACATACAAATTGAAATCACACTTGTATGAAGAGTAAAGAGTAGGTAAAGAGTTTTGGAAACAAAACATTTAATGATGTATTATAAAATAGAAGTAGAATATTAAATATTTGGCTGAAAATTATAATTGTCGTATTGAGGCGCTTCACTAAGGCATGTCTGCATAAATTTGGTTATATTACAAAAATGGCTTATTGACACAACTGTTTGTGATTCATGATCATTTTTGCCATGTAAATAATTCTTGTTTACAAAATGTGACAGTTCCATGTATGTACATGCATGTAGTAGTGACAGTTTTGGGTTTGACGATGCTGTATATTTAAAGGGGAAGTCCACCCTGAAATTAAGTTAGTTTTAATAGGAGTAGAAAAATGAGAGAAACAAGTCAGTGAAAGTTTGAGCAAATTCCGATTAAAAATAAGGAAGTTAGGATTTTTGAAGTTGTGATCAATCAAACACAAATTGGCGACTCTATGACGTATCATGCGAGCTCAACTTCCATTTGCTCAGTACTAAAAAAATCTAAAATTTTCATTTTCCCTCAAGAAAAATTTCAACCATACATGCACCCTAAATATAATAATTGCAAATATGTTTCTATACTCCCCCTGCAAGGAACAAATATATATTCCGTCATCAATAACGAAGAAAACATGATTTTATGGAATATTATGCACAAAGCAAATTATGAAGGAGAGCTCGTATAATAAGTCACGGAGTTGCCAATTTGTATTTGATTGATCACAACTTCAATAATTCATAACTTTCTTATTTTCATTCAGAATTTGCTCAAACTTTCACTCACCTGATTTTCTTATTATTCTGCCTCTATCGAAACAAACTTATTTTGGGGGTGGACTTTCCCTTTAAAGAGGAATTGAAAGCTACCTAACAAAGTGAATGATTAACAGGTAATAATTCCAAAACTTTTTGAGATATATACTGTACATACAGTACAGCAGGTATTAAATTTCATGAGCTTGTTAATTGTGAGATGCTCAAATTCTTTCACTTATTGCCGAGAAGGAGTGGGGAGGGGGAGGGGGGGGGGAGTGGGAATCTGCCCCCTTTGGTTGAGAAGGCACAGAAATAACCCAGCCCCTTTAATACCATCAAAGTTGTATTTCCCTATTTAGAGTCCTACTCTATGATGACACTGTTTATAACATTACAAAACTTCAAGTGTGTGAGAGAGCATTTGTATTCATAAGTATAGTAATTGTATATGCATGGGTATATTATTTACATACCAGTATGTATGTGAGTGGGACTACAATTAAGTAATTATATACATGTAGGTATAGCTTGATTGTTTTAAAGGTAATTATCCTCAACAGGATGGGTGATCTTTGATCAAGACAATTGTTTCTGGTTTTATCCTCTTAGCACGGTTGGAAACATAGTTAATGAACAGGATTTTTCATGTTTTTTGTGCAAATACATCGTCGCTGTTTTCACGAAGTGACGGTAGTGAAAACAAATTGCATTCACTTTGCGTTACGATTTTCCTCACTATACCGTCACTTCGTGAAAACAAGGACGACATGTCTGTGGGGTAAAAGGGCAATCCAACCCTGAAGTTCATTTGTATGAAAGCAGACAAATTATGTGAACAGAATGACAAAAGTTTGAAATATTTCGGATCAATAATACAACAAAATCACTAATTTTTGAAGTATGAAATCACTAAGTCTACAGTATGAGAATCTCAAATTGGCAGTTTGGTCAGTTCATTGTGAAGTACGTAGTCGTGGATAATTCCCATTTGTCGTGAACAAACTACAAAAATATAATAAATTCATGTTTTCTCCTAAGTACCTTCTCCGTTGGGGCACTACTCAAAATATATTATGGATAGAAAATTATCATAGGTCCTCTAATAAAGGTAATACAAAGCTTTGGGAAATTTTGAAAATTGGGTGGATAGTGATTCTTCACAATTTTGATATATTTGGATGCCCCTTTGGATGTATCATAAGTACGGTACTAGAAAATTTAGCCCCTAAAACACTTTTGCAAAATTGAATATAAAAATTTACTGGTGCTCCCGGTAAATTTTGATGAATTTCAAATAGCGCCTACATGTACAACAGTAGCTGCGACCATGAAAATCTCAGAATATGTAGCTGTGATATATAATTTCCAAACGGGAAGAGATAATCTGTCAATTTTAGTCAAGAAACATTTTTTTATAGCTTAATTAATATCTTGACCTTGAGAGGGAGCTATACAACATAAAGAGTTTATTATTTACAATTTCATACCTTTAGACTCGATTTCAATCGTAACAACGATCACTGAATATTGTAGGATCGCATATGCTTCCAATATGTTCACTTGAACAAAAATTCATGACCATATACCAAAACTTTGTATTACCTTTAAAGAGAATAGACCTAGCTTCCTGAGTCATATTTCCTTTTAGGTTGGATTTACCTTTAATGTTTCGGATGTCACAAAGGGATTAACATTGTAGGTATTAATAATACAGTAATGCTCTGTAGTCTTTACTTGTAGTCATAAACCATTCTAATGTCTTGAAATTTGTTTTTTATTAAAGATTTTTTATTTTTTATCTTGTTGCAGTGGTCTATTCTGCAGTTAAATATAAATTTAGAGTTTTATTTTTACAATTGCATCATTAAAAAAGCTGTTAGGAAGCTATTGGGAAAAGAGTGATTATAGTGTAGCACAATTCAATATTGATGTATGTTGTGAAGTTTTGGAATCATCAAAATGATATGTACAGTATACATGGGACTACACAAACATGTGACATGTAAATTTGGTCCAAATATTCAATAATTATTTCTTATAAATTTATCCTTCGAAAGTGAAGGCATTTTAAGCTATCCTTTTTCAAGCGACAATACCAAAGGGAAAAATTTAATATTTCTTTTTGGGGGGCTACTTTTCCAGCTTGCCTGCATGAAAATAATTCTAAAATTTGTTTTGCATTGAACTCCGATTCTATGCAAATTTACAGGGCTTTTTTTCTGATTTTCAGGGGGCTCTTTGGGGCATTTCGGGGGCTATTTTGCCCGAGCCAACGTGTATTTTTTCACTGGACTATTTTATATGATATTCTTACACACTATTAAAAGGGTGAATAAGTTCACAGATTATTTCTCCACCTTTCTTAGATTTCGACCTTATCTTGAAGTCAAGCTTGTTTTCTGATCAGTCCTCTGTCATTTTTGTCCCCAGGTTCCGCGAGTATTCATCCAGGGCAAATGTGTAGGCGGTTACGACGACACCAAGAGACTACAGGACTCGGGCCGTCTAGAAGAGATGCTACGGGATTGTAACGCCATAGAGTAACGCTGCCGCTGAATACCATCCACTGGCCGTTCAGGGTTTAGCGCTTATGAGTGAAGATTGGGATGTTCGGTCGTTGGAATACAACAGTAATGGCCTTGGATACAGCATCGCAAAATTGTTTGTGGAATTTCTTTATTTCTTTCCTCAGTAAAACACTCCATTGCTACTAAGAGGTGCAAGGTATTGTATGAATATGAAGCCCATCTATTTAAAAACAAAATGAAAAAGGCTGATGTTAGTGGCATATCAACAAAAAGTGTATCTTATACCTTATTTGTACAGGTATATTTCATTGCCTTCAAAAAGTTAAAGATATATTTTCTCTACTTGTATCGGTGGAAAGGTATAGTCAGCTAGTTGCTATATTTGTTCAAGCATTACTTGTTCATTATACATAGACATCAAACATGCAGTATCAGAGTCAAATCTGTGTTGAATAGTGGCCACCTCTTTATAAAGGCCACCTGTCATTACTGGCCTTGCATTTTGTCTCCAATGAGAGAGGAATGTGTGTTGAAGAACCTGTCTATAAAGACCACCTGTCTACAGTGGCAACCTTTCTTTTTCCCTTGGATTGCCTTAATATACAGGTTTGACAGTATGTACATGTATATGACGAGTTTAATTCCAAAAGGAGCTAAATCCATTTTTGTAACTTCAGAGAAAAAAGAAACTTTTGACCAGATTGTGTACAGGCATTTATGGAAAGGTGATATTAGAAGGTGCATTCTTTCATAATTGCTCCCAAAATTTAGGTAAATAATTTTGTTGAAAGATGGGTACTTCTGATATCAATAACTCAATTTTCATCGAAAGTGGATTTAGCTCCTTTTGGAATTTAGCTCTTTATATGTATGTACAAACACATTGAATGACCAAGTGATAGACTTATTTCACCTGTCATCAAAGGAAATATTCTCAAATGGAAATGGGATGTGCCCTTGCGTTATTCCACGCATTCAAGTCCATTCAATTTTATTATCCATCATTTTACCACATGGCCATATGTATCAGTAAATTTAATTTGAAATCATCTTTCTATCCATAGTTGCATATTTATTCACGTAATATATCTTTTAAAGCAATGCATGTAAAGTATACATGTGCTCAATTGTGTTACAAACAGTTTAAACTGAATTATTCATACCCTCACATGTACCAAGTTTTGTAATGCTTGATTATGTGAAAGTTGATTTATCCTGATTTATGTTGAGAATGTGACATAATAAACCTTACATGTACATCTAGAATTATTCAACAAAAATCTTAATTCAACCAGTCCATCTGTTGTTCTTGAGTTATGAAAAAACACAGGCACCATCAGATTTACAAGGTGTATTGATAATTTAGTTTTTAGCTGGTGCACATGTACATACATGTATGTTAAATAATGTTTATGTGTTTATTACTATATTGACTTGATTACTACAACTTTATTTTGAAATAATAAAATAGATTTCACAGGTTTATGTTTCTGAATTGCAGATACTTTATCGTACACTGTAGTTCTTTCTGAAATACTAATTCTTGGATTATGTAGAAACTTGTGTTTTGCTAATTGTTTCTCCTGATTTCTTGCCATTTCTTTCTTTCTTTCCCTCCTCCATTCAAAACACGTATAAGTCATGCTTATATTTCCGCGAGTTCTAAAATTCGCGCTTGCCAATCTTAGCGCAAAATCCACGGAAATTAATGTACTGCAATTATTTTTACTTTAAGAGTACATACTGTAAACGTATAGGCCCATATATTTTAATCGGTTGTTGCATCCATTGTTTTTAGTAACATGCCTCTGCCATCTAACCTTCGTTGGCCTTGGCCCTTGTCATACAGCTGGCATTGGCTCATAAAAAAATATATCATTGCTCCCATTTGGTTGTAACCTTAGTTAGCCTTGCAATACAGCTGGCAATGGCTCATAAAAATGTATAGCCTGGCTCCCAATTTTGGCAAAAACCGTTGCCTTTATGAGAGTAAGGGCGCGTTCATGCTTGATTTTGACGGCCAGAATCAGGCATCTGTTACGCGTTTAGTTTAAAACACGATTGCGTTCATGCTCACTTTTGTAGAATCACCGAAAAACGGCGATCACGATCGCCGATCGTAAACTCACAAAAAGATGCGTTTACAATTTGTAAACGCGTTTAAATGGGGTCAACGCACTGACCTCCAGTGGGTCTACGTAGCATGCACAGTGAAGGTTTGCGAATCCAGCTGGAAGACCAATTAAGGCCACACACGGAGAATTGCCTGGGGGAGCCAGAGAAGTAAGCATGAACAGTACATCGTGGAACTGCGATCACGATGAGCGTTTACGATGAGCGTTTCAGATCGCTCATTCTGCCTTCAAAATTTAAGCATGAACGCAGCTTAATATCAGGACAGATAGACTTCACAATCCTAATGTCAATCAAATCTCTGGTTTTATCTCTGAAAACCACACTAATCACATGCCTTGCCAAACAGATGTCACATGTTACATGACTTCCTTCAAAGGCATTATATACCACATGCATAAACAGCAGACATGGGCAAACAAGTAGCTGGTACTCTCGATGATTTCCAGATGATTTACAAAAATATATATTTAAAGGGATGACTACCGTATATGCCGTCAATTTTCTTTCTATCCCTTGTGAATAGGCCGGTTTACTCAAATATTCAAATTGTATGCCTACTTTTTAAACAAAGTTTGTTCTTGACACCCCAAATCTTGCTCGAGGCTTGCCCGACATAGCAACAAGTAATGTATGCAGACTGGATTCCAAGTGTAACTCTACACCAAGTCCCCAGGAAAGAAACATGCATGAATTTGAATGTTATTTAAACCGGTCTAGTACTTCATGCAGGTGACTTTATAGAATCATGTGTTTACATCCACAAGTTTGTCTTTTTTTTGCAGTTATGTATTAAACTTTCTCATGGTCTATTTCTGTCAGTAAGTTAAAGTTAACCTATGTTGTTATTTATGATATATAGATATGTTTATCAAATGATTTTTGCCAGTACGTGTACGTTTGGGGTTTACCATAAATTTGAATGTAAATATTTGTGTTCAAGTTACAGATCTTTAATGGAATTGTTTTTGTTTGAATTCATACTTGGTAAACAATTAATAATAAATGGCATTAAAGAGGAATTTCTGTGTTTGTGCACGTTGATAATATGTTTATATGGGATAGTATTACCATGTTAATATTTCATTCAGTGATAATCTGTTTATATGGGATAGTATTACTATGTTAATATTTCATTTACAGTGATAATGTTTATATGGGATAATATTACTATGTTAATATTTCATTCACAGTGATAATATTTTTATGTGGGATAATATTACCATGTTTTTATTTCAATCAAAATGTTATCAACAATGTATTAACATTTCTGTCATAAATGGCATTGAATTGAGTGGATTTATATGTTTATATTAATACTGTGAGTGTGTTATTGGATACAATGTTATGATATATTTGCAATAAATACCTGGAGGTACTAATCACGGTATTCACTCGTTATCATTGCATTTGTATGTTCTTGTGTGTAGACTTTTGGTCCTACAATGGCTCAGTGGTAGAGCAGTGGTCTCGTAACCGGGAGGTTCCAGGTTCAAAATCAAGTTGATGTTCTAGTGCCCTTTGGTAAAGGCATCAATCCTCATTCCCAAGTCCCCTCAGAGAGGACTTAAAGCTGTCAGTCCCCTGGTTGCCTACTTACAAGCATATATACACAGTTGGGTAAAATGAACAAACCGACCGACAATGCAACAATGTACATACATATTGAGGGGAAGTCCACTATGATGTTAATTTTCAACAAAAGCAGAAGCTAAATCAGAATAAACAGATAATAGACGGTTTACTGGGAAATCTGAGGAAGAGAAGGAAGTAATAAGCAGGGCTCTCACTGAACTTTGTTTCTTGGTTGCCAGCCGGGCATCCTATACATTTTTTTAGGTTGTCACAGTGAATAGGTTTAAAGAGGTTTGTGTAATGCGTATATCTACAAGGGTGAATGTAAATATTGCGTTGCTGAGGAGAGCTGTGTGCACTGCTTGTCTACAATTGATATAGGCAAGACATATAACAAAACATATATGCGCAAGGGCTTATAAAGCATTAAAAAATGTTGTTGATCAAACCCAAATGGTGACTCAGTTTGTTTTCAATAAAAGCAGAAGATAAAATAAAAGAAACAGATAATAGATGGTTTACTGGAAAATCTAAAAAAAAGAAGGAAGTAATAAAGCACAAAAATATGTTGTTGATCAAACACAAGTTGGTGACTCAGTGTGCACCTCTCCCATTCACTCTATATATAGAGAAAAAATACCTCATATATTCTCTGAAGAAAAGAGATTATAAATTCCACTCAGCATTGCCAAGTTGAAGATTAATGCTCTTGTGTGGATGGGTTTTTTCTCTTTTTTTTCATTTACATACATGTAACGTTGTTCTTATTTTGGAATGTGACAATGTATTGCAATAGAAATGAACTGATCGAAATTTTCCCTAAATTTCTGTTCATGCATTACAGTTGGATGTGAATTTGAATTTTATTAGTAAACTTAATTTATTCATATACATGTACATTTGTTTCACAATACATAAATAAAACAATTATATAAACAAGAAAATCCACAAGTGGTATAGTTTCACAAGTAATCACTAATTAACAATAAACAATGTAGCTTGTTTATACAGTGGTAAGTGATATCATTACAAAATAGTTATTTGACACGTACCAGCCTATGTTTGACAATAAAGATACATAACAAATGGGAAAGATAATTTCAAAATTGATGTTCTATTGATATAATTATGTTCATTTTTTTAATTTTTTTAATTTTTTTAAAATGTGTAATTCTTTGTATTCTGGATCAAAAGACACTGCCACAACATCACTGAAAGAGAACCTCAAATTTCCTTACAAATAAATGTATTGTACAGTCAAAGTGTATCAGGGCTATTGTACATGTAATTTTTTTTATCCCCTATAGTTGGCCTTCAGATGTGATAGCTTGTGATTTATTTTAAGCCCCGATTGTCAAGAGTTTGTGAAGGTATCAAATGCCCTTGATATGTATATAGGATTGAAGCAGAGCACAGTTATAAACATGTTATATATGCATGCCTGAAACACAATAGGCATTATGTGGTTTCCTTTTGTGATCACACTATTGGATCTCTTTCTCTCACTGTCTCTCACTCACCCTCCCTCTCTGCCTACATAATATCCCTCTCTCTCTGCCCCACCCCCTTCTCACTCTCTCTCCCTCTATGTTTCTCTGTCCCCCTTCTCTCTGCATGTCTCTCTCTCTCTCTTGTTCTCTCTCCTCTTACCCTCATTCTGTTACTTTCATTTTAACCTCTCTCTTTTCCTGTCTCTCTTATCCCTTTATTTTCTCTTCATCGCTATATATCTGATCATATTTCTCTCCTCTCCTACATGTACATATGCTTGCTACCCTGATATACCCGCCCCTCCCTCTCTCTTCCCTACTCCTATGTGACCCATTATGAACCCCTCAGATCAACTGTTTTTCTGTTAATTTTTTTCCTTGCTATCCAAGCTTAAAATGTATATCTCTCTTTCTCTCTCTCTCTCCTCTTCTAGCTACATGCTACTCTCATACCCTCTTTCTCTCTCTCTCTCTCTCCATCCCTCTCTCTTCCCCTCTCTCTTTCCCTCACTCCCTCTCTTTCTCTCTCTCTCTCCTCTTCTAGCTACATGCTACTCTCATACCCTCTCTCTCTCTCTCTACCTCTCTCTTTCCTCCCCCCTCTCTCTCTCTCTCTCTCTCCTGTTCTAGCTACTCGCTACTCTCATACCCCCTCCCCCTCTCTCTTTCCCTCCCTCTCTCTCTCTCTCTCTCTCTCTCCTCTTCTAGCTACTCGCTACTCTCATACCCCCTCCCCCTCTCCCTCCCTCCCTCCCTCCCTTTCCATTCCGAGACATCAATCATCACTCATCACACATTTCAATCTACAAGTAATCATACATTTTATTGTCTGATGTTTACAATCATTTCTCTCTTTTTTTGTTGTTGTTTATACAGATCTGCAATATACATGTACATTTACAAATAGCAGGCTGTATACCAAACAGGTCTAATTAATAATTAATACATTTTTTTACATTGTCATACGTTGTATATTTCCTCCTGTATGTTCCCTTACCATTTTTTTTTTGTCTTTCTTTTTATAATAAAACATACAGGATATATTTCCATTTACAAACAAATAGCGATAATAATCTATGCCCTAGATACGTACAGTAAACAACTAAATTAGTCATACCCTTACCAAGTTTTGTTATTTTGTTAAGTAGGCGAGAAATTGATTTGTCTTGAGTTATGTTTCTTGAGAATGCGACCTATTAAAGCTTTTAAGACATCTAAAGGTAATTAAACAAAGACCCTGATTCAACCGGTCCATCTTTCATTCTTGAGTTACGAAGAACACATGAAAACACCAAATTTGCAAAGGGGTATGAATAATTCAATTATTAACTGTATGTCTTTTAACATGGAATGAAGTATAGACCAAATTATACACAAAGGAAGAAAAAAATGGATACTATGCAATCTATAACATATATCTAGGAAGTTACATTTCTTCAATAAAAGATAAATGCATGTCAAATGTTGCCTTGGTTACTGAATTTAATCGCGACTAGCAAACCTCATATTTTGTAATGGCAATACTATATGCATGTGTATGTACATGTAAGCAAAGTCTATTTGGGCAAAGGTAGAAATGTGGAATTTCGCGAACTAAGCAAAGGAATCAAGCATTTCCTACGAATGAGATTTCTGTTACATTTTATGTGCACAGGTCGTCTTTTTAGGGGAGATGGAATGGCATACAATTATAAGAAAACTTAAGTTAATAGCCCTTCCACAGAAGAAAACTTGTTAAGTTAATAGCCCTTCCACAGATAACATAATACAATGGCTTTGAACGACCTTGTAAGGCCGTTTCTCAGAGTTGTTCTGTTCAAACCATAGTGCGCATAATAATAATAATAGTAGTCACATTTGTATGGCACTTTAACTTTTCATCTAGTTCTGGTCATAGTTCAAATATGAGGGAATTTGAATATGAACCTAGTGCAGAGGACATTTGTACTACACATTTTTCCTCATGAAAAAATAAAAGGATGAGAAAGAAAGATTTTGTTTTCTCTTAAAGGCCCACTGTACTACTTGTAGCTACTTGCGCCCTCTATATAACAAACAATGCCTTATCGGTGACCATTGGTCCCCCATAATCCTCTTTTTCTTATGTTAACTGAGAGCTGAGTTGATGAGATAACCACCTGTCCAGTGACCTTGCAGGGCGGTGTAATCCCTCCTGTAAACTATGGCAGATAAGCTTTAATAGTGCAAACACCTGTGGGAAGCTGGAGGGAGGGGATAAGGAGAGGGGGGGGGGGGGGAAGGGGGGTAAATAAAACTATGCAGTGAACTATATGTTCTTTTATATACTTCACCGAAATGCACATTAACACATACATGGGACAACAACCCAAAATTATAAATCTAAATTTCAACATGTGACGCAAGCGGAAACAAACCTGTATGAAAAAGTGAGAACAACCTGGTTAACTGTACACAAAAAGATAGAATAAGTCTTAAAAACCACACTATACATAGCTCATGGAGTTATTATTGTAATAGTTCTCTGTATAACAAATGTGTGTACATTGTACAAGTAATTCTTTCAGTATGTATATGTAACTGCAGTTGAGAGAATAAAATTGAGATCTATGTACATAGCCACATGTAAAGAGTATTGAATTTTTATACTGTTGTCTTTTTTCATATATTTTTAACTTGGAAAGTGGTGGCTAGTGGCTACACTACAGAACATATTCTTGCTTCCTAGACAGATTCATGTGCAATTGCTAGGAAAATGTTTATTATTTGAAATAATAATAGTATATATTGATGATAATGATAAAGATAATAATATTTCAAATAATAATGAGACAATTCAAAAACACATACATGATCATGTTCAGGTTGGTCAGTATTCAACAAAAATTTAAACACAGCACTAGCTCTCAGCTTGGTGTAAATTAATTTCAGGTTTTAGCCTAAATCTTACCTCTATTTAACATTGCTTTAGTCTTTGCATTAGGTTTATAAATTTGTGAGACATAGAATAAAAACTTGTTTAACTGGAACGCAGCGTTCTTTCTGGATTACGATCATACCTGCCAACCTGAGACAAGAGAAATTAGGAGTAAATTTTTCTGGATGGACTACGAGGTCGCGAACCACCGAAGGATTGGGGTAGTAGCCCGTAGATTGGGGAGGGGGGGGGGGGGGATACACAGGACTTTAGGGTCTATTTTTTTTTCTCTCCATTTTAATGGTGCAAATGGGCCTTTTCCTTCAACCTTTTCGCCCCACACATAAACAATTTTTGAAATATCAAAATGTGAACACTCACAAAACTACATGTTTCACTACCCACCTCAGTTACCCATACTTATCCATTTTGTCCTTCAAAAATGGAGAAATCAACGAAGCAGAAGAATAAAGTAGTAGTAATCCAAAATAAATCCGAGGAAGTCCGGTAAATAACAAGCTTCCACGATCGCAGTCATCGCACAAGCATTGAAGAAAACACGCCAATGTATACAGTGTTTATGCACGGTGTATCAACTGCACATGTAATATAAATACACGTGGGCTATACGCATGCAATGCAACAACACTGTATGTAGTGTATGTATTAGTACAACGTCCGCACACACTTTATCGATATAGCTTGCGCACGTGCTTCCATGTACTAGTACATGCAGTTCATGAATAATGACTGCGGAACTAACGATCACGTTCGGGCTGCGCTGTGTATATCTTCTATGAGCGCGAGCGCGGATGTCGGCGTGATCTGGTTATCAGTGCTGTGTTATGCTTTAGTCTTATGCAACAGTCGTTTGTTTTAAAAATATTTAAAAATTTAAAAAAATCGGAGTTTTAAGGCATGCATTCGGAATTCGGAGTTGGTATGAAAAATGCGGAGGAACTCCGCCTAAATCGGGGTGGTTGGCAGGTATGTTACGATGTATTCACAATTCAATTCAATTCAATTATGACTACCTTACCATTACAAGGAAACAAACAAAACATTATTGAACACAAATTCTATTCCACACATCATGTGATGCTTATCTGGCCAGAATGAAAAGCAATGGCCAAAGAGGGCGCTCTTCCTCTATCCTGCACAGAGCCATAGATCAGGAGAGTTTGGCTAACTTGGTTCGAATAGACACGTATATTCAGATTCATGGATGTTTCTTTCCTGGGGACCCAGTGAGGAGTTATTCCATTAAACCTGTTATCAATGAATAAAATACAATACTTGGAATCCAGTCTGAATACATCACTTGTTGCTATGCTGGGCAAGCTTTCAGGTTGTCAAAATCAACCTTTGTTTACAAAGTATGCATACAATTTTAATATGTTAGTAAACTGATCTATTGGGCACAATGAGGCAAATATTCATTTTTTGGGCAAGCACAAAACAAAAGGAATATTCACCACGCTGTGACCAAGTGAAAAAGCAAGTTGGCCAAACTCTGTTTATCGATGGCTCCGATCATGCAGTATTATCTTTACAAAGAAACACAACATACAATGACCAGACATACATATTATACGAGGGGAAATTAAAAACAAGTATATAACAAAATAATATTTCTTCCATTCCATGACCACAGGCCTACAAACTAATGCCAATATTGCCACATATGTAAATATTGGCGACAAGCCATATTTACATGTGTTTTTGAAACACTTTCTACAAATAAATGTCACGTTATTCCCCATATAAATTCATTCTATTATTAATCCCTCATCCTCAGTGTTTTATCTAAAAACTGATGATCTTCAGATTTGCAATTGATTGGGACAAACATTAAGGTTTATATTTTCCTAAAGCAGGACATCAATACCGGTAATTCCAATTTGTTTTTTTCTCAATACGTTTGAAAGTAGAGTTTCAAGCAGAGTGGTTATTTCAGTGAAAACTGTTTTTAGCAACCACCTGTATAAAAACATGTTTGTTCTCCTTCAAATGAATGTCTCATTGAAGCCTGTATCACACACATCTGTACACAAAGACCCTTTGCCTATAAAGACCACTTCTCCTCTTTTAATAAGCAGTCTTTAAACGCAGGTGTCACTGAACGAATCGCATGATCTAAGTTCTTCAGTTTCTTCATCTATTGCATACGTATAACTGCTCGTAAAGAAAACTTCTAAATAATGTACAAATTCACCTTTTGAAAATATATGTCACTCTGTGCCTGTTATTCTATCTCTCTTGATTTTCTTGCTATGTAAACAAAACAAAAAGTAGTGATCCCTGCCAGTACTACACAAATGCCAGACACTACCTTATGAAGAGTTCCCAACAAAAACATAAACATTTCTATGCGAGTCTGATTATCTATACACTGTTAGGGTAAGTCAACCCAACCATCCATTGCAAATATAAAATATGTTAAAAGCGCATCATCATCATACACTATGTATTCAAATACAAGTACAGTCAAACCTGCTTTAGTGACCACCTGTCTTCAAAGACCACCTCTCTACAAAGACCACTTGAAACTTGTTGTTTCCCTTGAAAATGGTTTCTCATTGAAACATGTTCCAAAGGAACCCGTCTACATTACAAAGACCACCTGTCTACTGAGACCACTTTTCTTGTCTCCCTTGAGTGGTCGCTGTAGACAGGTTTGACTGTAATTGCCTGGTTCGACGAGGGCAGGAGAGGGCGGTGTGCTACTCGTCTGAGCTGGGCTCTGGCTTGCTGTTTTGCGACGGCGAAACAAAGTGTTGCATCTGTTGTCTCTGCATCTGAAGTGGTTTCTTGACCTTGTCGGCTTTTCGCCACAGCGTCACTTCCTGTTAACAACGAGAGTTTTGCAAAATGATATGGGATTAGCCATTTTGGTCCAATCAAGAACAGAATAATGGGGGAAAAAAGAAAGGGACAAACATACAGAGAATAACCACTGAAGGGAATTGACAAGATAGAATTAAAGCAACTAACAGGGATAGGATAGGGGGAAAGAGAGACAAAATTGACTGAGACAGGGAGAAGAAAAAACAAGACAATCTAAGAGAAAAAGAAATTCTGTAAGAAAGAAACAGCGATTTACTAGGACAAAAATAATGAGGGGGGTGGGGGGGGGGGGGGAGATGAAAAAGGAAGGAAAGTGAGGTGAGGAGATGGAGGACAAATCTGATATAGAAAGGAAACAACCAAATAACTCATGAGGGAGTAAAGAAAACGGAAGAGGAATAAGAGAGAGAGTCTACAAGAAAGGAAAAAGACATGCACAGAGAGAAAAAACAACAGAAAGAGACGAGTAGAGAAAGAAAAGATAGAGAAAGAAATAAAAAGGAAAGAAATATTGACAGGACAACAACAAAAACAGAAACAGTGAGTAAGAGCCAAAGAAGAAAGAGAGAGGGAGGTGTAAGTGGGGGAGGGAAAAGTGACAAAGATAATGTTTCGCTGACCTGTTGTTTGAAGTACCGCCTTTCTTCCTCATCTACGAGTACAAGATTCAGGTAGTAGCGAACTGAGAACTTCTTGTTGACATCCCGCATCGTAGGCGTCAGCTCGTACCCTGACAGGAACAGCCTTATGGGTATTGATTCACCTGGGGTCACATGATATTAAGGTCAGAGGTCAAAGGTTTGCCAACATTATCTTTGAATTATAAGCATAACAACAATGTGATAATGACACATGCATTTCAAACAAACAGATTCAAAATCATTGATCCTTTTGTGTGTTGGAACAAACAGGAAAGTAGTCCGGCACTTCATCACAGTGATATTACCCATTCAGCCAATTTGAAGAGCTCATACCTTCAGTGATTACAACTTTCAAAATGTATATACCTTTCTTATTTTTAGCCAGATTTTATTGAAACTTTCCTGGGTCCGCTTCTCTGATTTTTCTGCTTTCTTTCTGAGAAGATGTCTATTCAGGATGAATTTTCCTTTGGAACCTCAATAATAAAAATGCCTCTGTTATTCATTTGGCTTTTACCCTAATGTAGTAAATAGAAATAACCACACTGAAGATGGTACCTTAAAGCTAACAAAATGCAGAATTGAAATAATGGATGCATTTTATTCTTAAGGTTTTAATCTTCTAAGATGAAATATAAATTCAACTATGAAGAAAATTAATAAATGTCCGCTTTAAGAAGGGCAATGGCTCAGTGGTAGAGCACTGGTGTCGTAACCGGGAGGTCCAGGGTTCGAAACCCAAGTCAATGCGCTAGTGCCCTTTAATGAGGCATTGAAACCTCATTACCAAGTCCCTTGGAGAGGACTTAAAGCCGCCAATCCCCTGGCTGCTTACTTAAAAGCATACACATGCTTTCTTAGAAGTCAGGTAAAACAAAGAACAAACAATCAAGACTGATAAGAGTTTTTTTTTACGACCTACCTCTTACTGGGGCACCATCCATGATTTCATATTTTGCTATGGTTTCATTTTCATTGAATGTATTGGGACCTGAAAAGAAGAGAGGGAGAGAGGGAGGGAGATAATAAAAAATAATATCAATACTGATGATAATGGATGCATTTGTGTAGCACAGCTACTTTACACATTTTCTACTGGCCCTTTAAGCAGGTTTTAACAAAATTGCCATGATAAGGCACTAAAGCATGCAAAGATTTTTTTTCTCCAAACAAGTAGCCATTTACATCACCTGGGTGGAAAGTGTCATATCTAGATGGATGTTGCCCAAGGACATTAGTGCTATGGCAGGAAATCAAAACCCATGTCTTATGTTCAGCATGCTTGGGACTTATCCAATGCCTTATCAGCAAAATTTATGGAAAAATGCCAAGTGACAAGCACAAATAGAGATACACGTTTATGCACAAACAAGTATAAGGGATGCTTATAATATTAACACTAATAATAACAAGTCCTAACAACTCTCACCATTCCATTACCGGTACAGGGTACATACATACTTTTTTTCCGACGATTTGAAAAGAAATATTATCATCCCATTATATTTCATAACATTTTGTAGGATTCGTTTTTGATTTATTATATTCTTGTCACGATAACCATATTTTACTATTATCTAAAGCCTGAAAATGAGAACAGAAGTTTTTTTGTTTTTACTTATGTATTTAGTTGCCTTTTACAAGATTAGTACAAAGCATACGTCTTTCATTTATTTCTTTTTTAATTAATTTCAATAAAAGAGGATAGATAAACAGATTTGAGAGACAGTTTTTTGTTTACCTGATCCAGTCGTTTCTCTTTTGATGATGGCAAGCTCCATGTGTTTGATCTTGATTCTCACAAGCAGGAAATAGATTTTACCAACGATTACATCTTTGAGATGGTATCTGCAAATAGACAAATGGTTTGGAAAAAAAGTTATCAGTCCAATCAAATCCGATAAAGTTGATTAAGTTTCACTTTGTTAACTAGATGGATCTTTGACTGCGCGTAGTAAAAAATTGATGCCTCCGCCATGACCTAAGTTTGGCGGGAATCCTTCTAGAGATAACGTTGTGATTACGAGAACAGGACGGACGGACAACCCGAAAACAAAATACCTCCGGCTACTTTGTAGCGGAGGCATATGAACAAGTGAGTGAGAGATGTGAAGGTCATCCCTGACAATATCTCTCTCTGTTGTACTGTCTGTCTGTCTGCCCCCCCCCCCCCTCTCTCTCTCTCTCTCTCTCTCTCTATCTCTATCTCTATCTCTCTCTTTCTTTCTCTCACACTTTCTTTCTTTTTCTCTCTCTCTACTTCCCCATCTCTCACACAATAAACCTCTCAGAATAACTTCACTTATTCCTTAAGGTGAAAAAAAACTAGATGGAACTTCAACTGCGCGCAGTCGAAATGATGCCTCCGTCATAGAGCAATTTTACAAACAAAAACAGAAGAAATTTTTCAAATTCAAGTTCAATTGTAATCCATTAACAGTTTCTCAGAATATCGTGATTACAAGCAATTTCTCATATACATATATGACCCTTTGATCTTTGACCTCATGACCCTAACATCTACTCAGTTCATTGGCTCTACAAGATGTCCCGAGTTAAATAGTAATCCATTTGTCAGTTCTAATGAGAATGCGTTCACGAGCTATTTTTGCATACATAATGAGCCGCATGACCTTTGACCTTGACCTTATGACCCCAAAATCTAATCAGTTCATCGGCTCTGCAAGTAACATACATGACCTAATTTTGGCAGGAATCCATCAATCGGTTCTTCAGATAACGCGATCACGAGCTGTTTTTGCATACATAATGAGCCCTGTGACCTTTGACCTTTAAACTCGTGACCCCAAAATCTAATCAGTTCATCAGCTCTGCAAGATACATACATGACCAAAGTTTGGCAGGAATCCATCAATCGGTTCTTCAGATAACGCGATCACGAGCTGTTTTTGCATACATAATGAGCCCTGTGACCTTTGACCTTTGAACTCGTGACCCCAAAATCTAATCAGTTCATCAGCTCTGCAAGATACATACATGACCAAAGTTTGGCAGGAATCCATCAATCGGTTCTTCAGATAACGCGATCACGAGCTGTTTTTGCATACATAATGAGCCCTGTGACCTTTGACCTTTGAACTCGTGACCCCAAAATCTAATCAGTTCATCGGCTCTGCAAGATACATACATGACCAAAGTTTGGCAGGAATCCATCAATCGGTTCTTCAGATAACGCGATCACGAGAACGGGACGTACGGACGGACGGACGTACGGACGTACGGACGGACGGACGGACAACCCGAAAACATAATGCCTCCGGCTACTTCGTAACGGAGGCATAAAAATTAAAAAACTCACAACTTACTTTGATTTGTTGTATTCAAATTCTACACCTGTTAATCCACTTTCTCTCTCTCTTTCTCTCTCTCTCTCTCTCTCTGTCTGTCTGTTTGTCTGCCGCCCCCTCCTCTCTCTGCCTATCTTCCTCTCTCTATCTCTCTCTCTCTCTCTCTCTCTCTCTCTCTCTCACACACACACTTTCTTTCTCTTTCTCTAACTCACAACTTACTTTGATTTGTTGTATTCAAATTCTATATGGAGGCAGTCCTCGATGCCAACTTCCATCTTAATAGAGGAGTTGACCTCGGGGTAGTGTGACAGAGTGTGAACCACCAGATCCATCTCACGCACTGTGTCCGTCAATCGCTTGGTGATCGTCACTCGTAGAAAATATCTGTAAGGTCAAAGGTTAGAGGCCAAAAGGAGTTAATAGCAGACAGTATTGAATATTTGGAGAGGTTGTATTATAGGTTGTGGACACAAAGGTTAATCTCAAGCACTGTGTCTGTCAATCGTTTGGTGATCATCACTCGTAGGAAGTATCTGTAGGAGGTCAAAGGTTAGAGGTCAAAAAGAATGAATAGCAGATAGGATCAAAGGCTTGACAAAGAAGGGGTCAAATATTAGAGGTCGATAGCAGTGAATAGCAGACAGTATTGAATATTTAGAGGGGTGTTATGATAGGTTGTGGACAAGAAGGTCAATGTCATGCACTGTGTCTATCAATTACTTAGTGATCAGCACTCAAAATATATCTAAGAGGTCAGAGGTCAGAGGTCAAAAGCAGTCAATAGCTGAGAAGATCCAAGGCTTGACAAAAAGTTGGGCATAGACATCAACGTTTATTGCAGAAAGGGTATGTGTCAATTACTTTGTGATTGTCACTCTTAGAAAGTATGTTTTCAGGATCAGTTCTCTCCTTCCCCCCCCCCCACCCCCCCCCCCCCAAACTAAGAGAGGGCCAAGATAACACAGCCTTTGGGGGGAGGGGGGGGGGGGGTCAATGAGCATTTATTTCATCAAGATATACTGTAGGGTTAAGATCGTAGTCGCACTTTATTTCAAGTTAAGGGATAGGGATAGGTACATGTTTAGTATCAATTTCAAGTTCATTTATTCAAAACCACACAACACATGATATAATCTTTTACATAAAAAAGAGACTGGTAATAGTAGGCCCTACATGTTTTTCAACATATATTAACTTGATTACATCATCAAATGAATGGTTTTAGGACCCCTGTAGAAGCTAAGCTTGTGAGTGGGGCCCTATAGTCAACAAAATACAGACATTAACGATATGGCAAGGTGAATAAAAATAATTCACTCGCAAGAGACAGGACTTACCTTAATCTTACATTAGCACCTGTGTACGACTCATATGGTTTCTCTACGTTAAGGAATTCAAAGGGATAGCTGGTTGATTGCGTGAGCTCTCCTGGCCTAGCAAGCTCTTTGACAAGCGATGTGAATTCATGATGGTTCCCTCTGTCGTAATACAGCTCTACAGAAAAGAAGAACAGAATTGTTGAAAGGTTGAGAAATGAGGATGTTAAAGAAATACTGTCAGCAGTTTCCATGTGCACTATATTACAATTCGCTGGCACTGGACTTGGAGGAAATACAGAGCTGCCAACTTTGCCAACCTTGTGTGACCCAAAAAAGGAACCATGATGGCAAAAAAAAAAAGAAAAAAGGAATTTCAAGCAACAAAAAAAAGGAATTTCAAGGAAAAAAAAAAGGAGTTCACTAAAACAAAACTTACAATCATGCACGACACACTTCCAATGCAGAAATGTCTGTTCCTCATGATGTTTTTTGCCATATTAGGACCTATAGTTTAATTACAAGTAGTCTTTTGTTGTTGTTATTTTGGTATTATCAGCGTTTGATTCTTTTTGAGAATATTTTTCTCTTCAGGTATGTTTTAACCTTAGTTTTGTGATCAATCAACATTTTAGGGCAGTGATTTGATCTACGGTATGTAACAAAACAAAAAAAAATTAAAAATTTCAGAAAACATATTTTATGAATAATAACAAAGTACCGTAATTTGGATGGAAAAAAATGAATAATTCCGGGGAAAATGTAATGATTGTCAGCTATGGAAATACCATAACCGGTGTACCATTCTGGCAGCGAAATGAGATGCCCCACCAAGAAATTGCTTGAAAGTAACGCCATTCTGTCAAAGAATATTCGGGTCAGGGATATTGTTATTATGAGATTTCCTTTTGGTGCAGTCTATTAAAGACCTGTGATTGATAGAATATTTTATCGGGTAAATATCCAATGGTGTCAAATTATCTTTTGATAAGTGATCATATTCTTACCTATTTGACCTACGAACTCAATACGGATGCCTTGATGTTCAAGCTTCTTGCCTTTGAGAGTGACATTGACCTACGACAAGAAAAAAAAGAGAGAAACAAAAAACTTCTAAATGAATTATATTTTAAAGATAGGAATAAGCAAAATAAGTGGGAAACCTTTGAAGAATTTTCTTTTGGTTACCCTTCAGAATTCACAGTATTGAATAAACTGTATAACTTTAATCATTGAATGCTTCGATGGTAAGGAACGATTTAAGTGAGGCTTGCAAACACACCACATATTCTTTCGGCACGGTTAATAGTTGGTCCTGAAAAGGGACCCCTTATGCTCGGTGTTTGTTTGATAAGTTGTACCTGAAGTTGATGTACAGTACCTATCATCCTGAAGAAATTATGAACAACCTTTAAAAACATTGAAGCAGAGCATGGCCCTTTTCAGGCCCAACTAATTATGTTGAAACAATATGTGGTGTAGAAAACCTGATCGATTTCTATTCTTTTGAACGTTTCATCTCAAATGAAAGAAGTTTGACAAAATTGTGATCAAGGGCTTTCAAGATTTGCAGCATGGCTAACATGAATAATTAATGCAGAATGCTACTTACAACTTAGTATGACTATAAAATTCCAAGTTAAAATGCACCCTACATGATAGACCTGGGGGTTGTTTCATAAAGATCCTAAGTTGGACTTATCTCTAAGTTGGACTTAACAATTATGGAAAGCCGTTAGCATCTATGAAAATGTTTTGTACAAGTTATTTTAAAAGGCATAAAATGTTGATTCAAATCATTCATATTGTCTATTATCCAGGAGATTTCATGTTCTTGATGTGGAATTAATACAAAGTCTAAAGTATTGATTTTTCGCCTTTGAATATATTTTATTAAATGCTACAAATGGCTCTCCATAATTTTTAAGTAAAACGAAAAGTTTGACTTAGGATCTTTGTGAAACACCCCCCAAAACTCATCAAAATGTTATCCCATTGAACAAAAGATTTACCTCTCAATAAAAACAACTGAAATATATCCTACTTGTTGATAGGACAACTAATGATGCGAAGTAGCACAATCATCTTAAAGTAGAACACAGTTTATTGTGTGATGGGCAGGCGTGTAGGCAGCCACGTTACCTGGTACTAATACATGGCATATTTTTTACTTTCGTTGTTGTAATGTATTAGCCTCAAGTGGGCATTATCAGAGTTACACATGTATGCACAGGTAACTCTGATACACCCACTTGAGGCTAATACATTACAACAACGAAAGTAAAAAATACTGTAGAGAAATCAATCTTTCCCAACAATGCCACTTTTTCACTTGCATAAAACAACAAACCAGGTTTTCCCTGGAAAAAACATGGATATTTGGAGAGGCTTTAAATAACAGTTATGAATGATTTCTGAATTTTAAGAAACTGTCTTACCCTTCCTGTCAAACTCTCTCCGTCGTAGAAAAGATAAAGTTTCTCCTTCCTGCCGTCATCTGTCTTGATCTCAGCCTGTTTTCTCGTCGCTGCATCGTCGAGCGCGATGTCGATATCGGCTCCTTGGCCTAGCCCGAAAAAGCTCTACACAGTAAAAAAAATAAAAGTTGATCCATAATCTATAGCAAGAGTACAGACTGTTGCGACATGAACATGAACATGAACAGATTTTAAATGACAGCCATTTTTACAGTAAGACAAAAAAATTGAAAATTGCTATTAAAGATGAAGTTGAGTTCTGGTCATGCGATTGCATTGTGAAATAAACGGTGTGGAACCGACCAGAAAAGGTTGATCATCTAGCATACATGTATAAGAATTTGTGTGTATTGCAAGGTTCTGGAATCATCAAAATGATAAGAAATTTGGCCAAGTCTTGGTTAAGTTACAAGCACTTGCACAGAAAGATGTATATGGGACTACACGTACACGTGACGTAAAAAGCCGGCCCCCCTATTTTTACGATGTTACATGCATATTTAGAATATGAAGGCATTTGAAGAGCCATGCTTTTCAGGGAACATGTCTTAACTGATGTTCTTCCACACTTGCATAATAAGTAGGCCTGAGTCATGTCGGGATTTTCATAAACCGGGTCCCGACGGCCTTGCACCGGTCGGGACCCGGTGTCCCGAAATCAGCTCGCAGGATTTGTCACTTGCCTCTATAAAAAGCGCATATCATCAGTATGTCCCTTAAAAGTGACATTTTTATCAGTCAAATAAATCAACACATGCATACCTCGGCACAGATTGGTATATTCTTCCATTTGACATTATATTCATCCATGATTGGCGATGTTTAGTGCCATTATCGTGCCTCTAAAAGTAAAAAAACTCGAGCAAAAATATAAAGTCTACAATCGAGCCGCCATTTTGATTTATGCAGGTTGAATAAATCTGGTCAAAAAATATGAATGTTAGAATAATAAAACGGCTTTCTAAAAATTCTTCTGTACAATATACCGATCATATAATATTTTAAAGACAAAAATAAATATTTATCTCTTATTTTAAACATCGCATGGTTTTTTTTAAAAGCTGAAAATTACTTGGTAATCACAAGAAGTTTCGATACGAATAGCTGTTGCAAGGCAAGTTCAGACTAGTCTCGGAAAAATGCGCAGTGCTCCTCGTTATCTGTAATGCGTGCCAGAACAAACCCAAACAAAGACGTAATCGTAACGAGAAAAAAATCATTAAAAACTACGAGAGCACAATTGGAAAGATATACTGCTCAAAATTACCATAATCAGATACTTAACTTGGACAAAGAATTCAATAATCGCCCAAGAAATGCCACAGAAATTGTGATAATCGAGGAGTTACTGGGTACATTTTTATCGCAAGGGGCCTGCTAGCTGCAAATACTCGAATCCTTTGTTATACTGCTTTTTACCGTAGAGGGCGGTATTTGCCTCGTGTTCAATTTAAACACGTTTAGATATATTGCAGCATGCAAGCCCTTCCGATAATGATTGTACCTATAGTAACTCATTAAATATCACTATTTATGTGGCTTTTCTTGGACAACTATTGTATTCTTCCTCCAAGTTATGTATCTGCTTACGATAATTTTGAGTAGTTGTCTTTCCAATTGTGCTCTCGTAGTTTTTAATGATTTTTTTCTCGTTACGATCACGTCTTTGTTTGGGTTCGTTCTGGCACGCATTATAGCTAACAAGGAGCACTGCGCATTTTCCGAGACTAGTCTCAACTTGCATTGCAACAGCTATCCGTATCGAAACTTCTTGTGATTACCAAGTCATTTTCAGCTTTTAAAAGAAGCATGCGGTGTTCAAAATCAAAGAAAAAATATATATTTTGTCTTTTAAAAATTATTCGATCGGTATGTTGTAAAGAAGTACTTTTTAGAAAGTCGTTTTATTATTCAAACATTAATGTTTCTTTCAACCTGATTTATTAATACTGCCGAGAGACCCGGCCAGTACAGTAGCTAGCTAGCAGCTGGCAACAACAACCCCATGGGGCGAACTGCTTTGCAACCCATATTTATATCAGCAGTTCGGATTGATTCTGGATGAGCTAGAATACGATTGGTAACAATTAAATACTTAAGTTTTAGGGTGGATTGATTTTAGTGGTGTGCAAAACTGCAATTTCTTACATATTTCATTATTTTTTTCGGAGCGCCGGTTCTCAAAAAACGAAACCGGGACCCGACGGCAACGGTCGGGTCCCGGTGTGATCGACCGTACCGACTCAAGCCTAATAATAAGAATGAGTAATGCTCACAAATTATTTTTCACCTCATCCCAGAACTCAACCTTCTCTTTAAATAGAATGTGTAAATTGATCTGTTTTGAAGCATGAAACTGTTGTGAATCTACAACGACAACATGTTAAAATCTGAAGGAGAAAAAATTTATTAAGTGTTAGTAGATCTAGTACCATTTAATGTTCTACAGATGATACAACAAACGTTATGTGTGCTCTTTAGCAAGGCCCTCGCGTACACAGATAAGGCGTGGCGCGCGCGCCATGCGTTCCTGATTTGCCTGACCTTGCGCCACACATTCTTTATAAAAAAAAATTTTTTTTTTTTTAAATCAAAATTTTGAAAAAAACAGAATATTCCGGATTTTCGGGTCCTAGATCTCCAAAAAAACAGAATATTCTAAATTATTTGTAAGGGTTGGCAGGTATGGGATTGTGTGCACATAGCTTAGCGCAGCAGCCTAGTCTTAGGGTGTCTGAACGATTTTTCAATTTTCAATTTGGGATCGTTTTTCACCATTTTTGTTTGATATTTGAATAAAAGATGTTATCAGAATAATACATTTCAAATTTCAAGTCTCACCGATGTTTCTATCAAAAGTTACAGCCCCTCCAAAACGCTGGTATATTCATATCATTTTGGTCGAAATCGACGAAAAAGACGTCTACGCAGAGTGATGTTGTTTTGCTAAATTTAGCCAAACAGCTGTATCGCGCGATATGCAAGCGTATGCATATCGTACGCATGCTGCTAAGCCAATCCGCGACTTGCAGCTTGAGCTACGCTGTCTCCGCGACATGTGCCATTGACTAGTATGGTTGGCGTTCGTCGCACAATAAACCCGGAAGTGAATGCACGTTATAGTCAATGGCAATATCGCGGAGATGTCTCCGCGATATTGCCATTGACTATAACGTGTATTCACTTCCGGGTTCTATGCCGCGAATGGCCACCCATACTTGAATTTGGGGTTTCGTTCGTGCGCGGAGATGTTACGCGATGTAACCATGGTTTGGACTGAGCGGAGCGCACGCCCCCTAATTAGCTGATCCACCAAATAGCGAGAAGGGTATTTTTAAACTGTTATCAGTTGTGATCCCTGGGGGCTAGCGAAAATATAAGCACATAGAATTGTTCCTTAGGACTGGGACTACTTATCGATCGGGGCGTCATATCTCAAAAGTGACAAACCTCAGAGTTAGCCAGGACACAATGTTTCAATTGCTGTTTTGACCAAGATATTTTTAGAATTTCGGGGGCTACGCCCCTTTAGAAATATTGGAATTTACCTGCTCTTTCATATGACACCTCATTTATTGATTATCACCTTCAGGATCACAACAGATAAAGGTTTGAATCTCGAATTGAAAAAAAAAAATTGACTTTTTTTGCATGGTCGCGCAATGCACGTAGACTGCATAGGGATGCGTGTAATCTCTATGGGAAGAATTTTAGCACACAACATCGGGTGCGCGATCAGACACCCTACTAGTCTGTGTGTGTGTTGACCTCATATCAAACTTTCATTGACCATACTGACGATAGGGTGCGGCGCACGCGTGTGCATGAAGTTAGCGACCGTGATGATGATCATCATCGTCTGAATGTGAATTACTTACAAATAGAACTGTCTACATCACAGTCGCTAACTTCAAGCACGAACCACACTGTCCATATATAGCATTCCATAGTCCATACACCCTTTTACGGTTAAGGCCGCCATTTTAATATGCGCGTAAACATTGCGTCATCAACGTTTTCAGATGCGCATGTATTGGCGCCACTGCCTACGCTGCTGTGCGCTCACATCATATTTGCATGGGCGCCGTCTTAATTCACGCGTAAACCACCAACCTCTAGAGGTAACTTAAAATGGCGCCCATGTCTGCACATGAGCACTGTTGTAAACCCTAAGCTGGTGTATTGTATTGACATAGACTCTATTGTGCAGAAGTTTGCTGTGAAACCTGTGAGAAAATCATGTTTTTTAGAATCTAATTTTTTTAAATTAATTTATTGTCTTCGTTTTTTGGAAAATACTCCAAGATTCCAAAAGGAATAACAAAACAGTTAAGAAACACAACAATGACCATTATTTATTTGAACAGTTGATAAAGATTAAGGCCTAGATTCTAGTTGATTTTTTGTATGTTTTAGTATGGTGTCTCCACGCCAGAGTTACGGGTCAAAGTCTGGATATGATTTCGAACTAGCCCACATTTCTTCATATTGTGTGGCTTTCCAGGCAAAACAGCATTTGCCATATTTCGGCAAAAAATGGCACGACAGAAACACGCACAGGTCACAGCTCTACATCTCCATTTCCACGATTACATATGAAAATAAATTATCATAGAATAAGATATTGATATTTACCATTGTTCTCTGAATGAATTATTCCCCTCAGATGTAATTTGTTCAAGAAATTGTAATATTTATTCTTGTTTTCCGCTAGCAGTCTTGCAAAAATGGGTGGATATTCATTGGTCACGCGAAAGCTATTGGAAGATTGTATTCACATCTCGAAAGGATTAAATTCACACATATTGCACAATGTTAGTTCGTACGAAAGACAAGTGGGAACAACACTCACAAAGAAGTGTTCGGACACTAGTCTTTTTATTTTCGGCTCTACACATTCATATCGCCATCTACGTCGACTAAAAAAACAATATAGGAACTGAAGAGTAAAATTTGCCTGTTGAAAAGCCAAACAAAAATGGTTTAATCTGAGTAAGTAAATAACCAAGTCTCCTTTATTCTGTATGTAAACCACTCTTGGTTACATAATTTAATATTCTTTGTTAATGATTAGTACAATGATGTAACGGATTTCTCAAAATTTAAATTTATTTGTGATTGGTAGTGAACTGTGCAACATCATTTGCCATGTGTGGGACTGGTGATACAAATGTGTGTGGAGAAATCGTGTCAAAATCGACTGAGGTCTGAGCTGAGCTGAGCTGATTGCAAGATGCGATCATTAAATATTATCATACAGCTTACAGTGTCATTGTGTTCACTTGTTTGATTAATGGAATGTTTATTATTGATAACATGATGATCTGAAGGTTTTCATGCTGTGATGTGATGATGAGAAACCTTTCTTCTCTCTCTCTCTCTCTCTCTCTCTCTCTCTCTTGCTTTCTAAATTTTGTTAATGTTAGGCCTTTTTTTCTGAGGGATTTGTTTTCATTGGACTCAAATTGGCATTATTAGATTAGAGGTAACAAAATATAGTCTCTTAATTCAGTAGGGGCGCTGGGCCGAGAATAAGGATCGTCCTCATAAACAAGGGTCATCTTCATAAACGGGGACAGATTTGTCCGCAAAAATAAGGGTCGTCGGCTGATTTTTTTTTAATTTTTGATCCGCGCGTTGGCGATGCAAAAAACAGATTCCGCAATGATTTTCTTGATGCATTTCACATTGAATTTGTACAGAGAGTTCCTGGGGAAGACGGACAACCCATAAAGATAGACGGTAAACTGGGGGTATTTTATTACACGGAATCCATTTTTCATATTTTTCAGCGCGCGGATCAGGAAACCGAAACAGGCAGAGCGCCGAAGAAGAAAAAATGTCAGCGAGAATGCAGGCGATCCCTAATTTTTTAGGACGCATTTAGTCCGCGTTTACAAGGATATCCTCGTTTAGGCGGGCGATCCTCATTCTCCGACCAGCGCCCCTACTGATATTGGAGACAATCAGAAACAACAACAAGGGCCAATGTCAAGTATCAAGTATCAAGTATCAAGTTTATTTGTCTTCCAATGTAGTTTTTCTCTGCCAATTTTGTGGCTCTCTCGCCCTCCATATCCCATGTCACAAGCCCATCATTTGTGTAACAAAAACATAAGTAGATCATATGTAGATTCTGTAAAAAATTAACTAGACAGTCAAAAATGGTTATTTTTCAAGAGGGAAAGCTCTGGTCTGAACATTGCATTGTTCAAAATCATATTACTGGGTGGGGCTTATCATGAGTGCACACTAATGATTGGTCAGGTGTCGTGTAAACTGACCTTGTCAAAATTAGTTTCTTCATTCAATGTTTCCTTACATAATGCTGTTGTCTACTTCCCTTCAATATTTATGTACTTGGATTCTTTGTACAAAGATTCTTTATACCAGATTTTAGGGCTGTGCAAAACAGTGTAATGAGGTACCCGAGTACACTCCCAGGTTCACAGGCGAATACTCGAATATTCGGACGCCATGTTTTTTTATAATTTTTTTGAATTTTTTTGAATTTTTTTTCTTTTTTTGCCACTACCATACCACTCAGCAGTTTCTCTGGTCCCTCGCTGAAAACGCATGCAACTTTACTTTGAGTTGCAGTTGAAGGTGCCGATTTAATAAGAATAATAACAGTAAACAATGCTGTTTTAAAAACCAAAGATTGCAGAATAATCCATTTTCCTCCAAGTCCAAACAGTTTCTGAAAGGTGAGTTTGACAGTGCTTGAGTTGGGAAACATTTTTACCGACTGTACCATGCCAGCGGACGCCGCTCTCCCTGGCACGGGTAAGCATGGGCCTGGACATTTTTTTTGCGGCCGAATATTCGGGTACAAGAAATCGTACCCGAGTAGTTGTCAACCGTGCGGGTACTCGAGCATTCGACTACCCGTCGCAGCCTTACCAGATTTGTATAAATTCCCTATGACAGTAGTCTGAATTGGCTATCACCGTCTCCTAATGTGTAGAGACTCTCCAACATATTTGGACAGTCCGAATTGATGCCAATCAGACCCCAATCCGGCCGATTCTAGGCCATTCGTATTGCCAGTTTCGCATAAATTTGCCTTAGTCTGAACATGCTATCACTGTTTCTTACATCTCACTGTTGCTTCTATTCATTTCTCCAGGATTCAAGCTGCTTTTACGCTTGCAAGGTCAAAGGTCGCTGGATCCCATTGCCCTTCTACCCTTTGACCCGACCCCAACCGTCCTGTGTAGGACAAGTCCAAACACACGCAGGAACGCACTTCATCATCAGCCATCATGTCTGGTCGAGGGATCAAAGGAGCGGAGCGTGTTCCTATACAGAGCACGGCAGGTGCCATACCTGTCAAAAATGACAAAGGTAAGCAATAATTTAAAGCACACATGTACAGGGAATGTTGCTAGAGACTAGGGCCCTGTTTCACAAAACTTGTCATCAGTGACAAATGACAGTCTTTGTCATAAGCTACTGAAATCCTTGCTTCTGATTGGTTATCAGCAGATTTGTCACTGATTTTTGTCCTTTGTCATTGAAAAAAAGCTTTGTGAAACAGATCCCAGGTCTTAAAGGTCTTAAAGAATGTGTAGGGGCCAATTAAAGATGCATAAACGTGGGCTTTCAAGGGGAATTCAACACCATGTGGCTGTTAACCCAATAACATTTTTCTTCCAACAAAAAGACTGAGAATAGCAATGAAAACGGGTCTTGCTATTTAATATAAGGACCTCTTTTTTATTGAAGATCGCTATTTATTTAGTCACGCGTTATGGATAGCGGTCCTTACGAAGGGTGGTCCTGGTGAATAGCGAAGTAAATTTGCTAAGGTTTGCTTGCTATTTATAAGGGCCGCTATTCAAAAAGGATCACTTTTCATTTTGTTACGCGTTATGGATAGCGGTCCTTATGAATAGAGGTCCCATGAAAACAACACCAATTCGACAGGAAGAGTAGTGTGATCGCTTTAAACTGTTTTGCCAAGATGAAGATTTTGATGCTTGTTTTCTTCAGAATAGTCTATTTTAAAAACCATGTACAATGCATATCCTGCTGCAACAGAAATTCACCCAATTACTCACTAATTTTAGGTTTTATTTTAACATTGATGTGCCTTATTTTAATAGTTGATATGAAAATAAAGAAATTTTCATATGACTACACATGAAAGTAAGAAACCTTTTTATAAAAGTTGGTTTATGGTGCTTAATTTCTACTTTAGTGGGTGAATGGAAATAAAGCATTGTTTGTGTCTGTACCTACATGTATGATCTACTTTAAAGTGATTTCAGGATGTTAATTAAAATTGATCTTCATTTCATTATAATTAGGTGAAATTAGTATGCAGAAGGTGAAAGTCAAGAGATATGTGCCTGGTAAAAGGTGAGATTCATCACAATTTATTTTCTTCTTCATTCTTTAGTAAAAGTGTCCTGTGACTTTATATGTCGATGACAAGTCATGATACTTTGATCCAGACCAGAGAGAATTATTTGAAAACAATTATCATGATGGAGCGCCAGGAGTGGCAATGTGCCAGACATAAGCGCTATACAAGACTCCACTATTGTTATTATTATATGTGTAATCAGTGCCCCTCTTTGGTAGGTCAGCCATTTCACCTTGGTTCAGCTGTGATGACATGTCTCGGTTCAAATTTCAATTCATGTGTATTTTGTATTCCCCCCCCCCCCCCCCCCCCCCCCAGACTGCACTTTGCACCTCAGTTCAGCAGCAGTGAGGACACATCTCTGATCCAATTACAGTTCCAAGTGTATTTTGAATGTCCCCGTCAGACTTTCAAACTTGAAAACTGTATTTTGTATGCTCCCTCTTCAGACCGGCCTTAGTGCCCTAGCTCAGCAGTAATAAACTGTGGTTTGTTCCAATAATAATAATAATATTATTATTATGTCTGGTTTACCCAGGGTATCCTCGTCAGTATTAATACTGTTCCTTCTGAAGGCCCTGCAATCGTTAACCCAGCTTTAATTACATCCCATGTCTATATTTGAATGTATTTTTTTATGCTACCCTTTCAGACCTGACTTTGCACCCCAGTTCAGCAGTGATGAGGATGAGGAGGCTGAAGGGCCGTTTGTCGGCCGACGCAAGCAGCACTACCCAACATCCAGGCTGGACGCAGAAGACGCCAGGATCAGGAGGCTTCGCGTCAGGCATGAGGATGATAGCGATGACGAAGAAGCAGAGAGGTTCGTACCATGGACCTGTATACATGCTAGACAAACCTGTCTAACTTACTCTGTTCACATTGATGTGTATTTCATATGAATTGTAATTTGTATGTTTATTAGCATTTTCTTTTTGTTTTGTTTGATATGTAATTGTTTATCATTGTATTTTGTTTGTTATAGTGCTTTGAGACTTCTGTGGTAAGCGCTTTATAAGCACCGTTTTTATTATTATTATTATTGTCTGTTAAAGACGTTATCCAATAAAAATACAACTTCAATGGAAAGCTGAATGAACTTAGAATTGTATGATAAAGAAATAACCAATGTTTACCCTTGCAGTATTGCACACAAGCAAATTAAAAACCTAACTTTTGATGAGCCGTTCTTAATTGATGCAAAGTCATTGTGCCATCAAATCCATAGCTAGTTTTTAGGTCAACAACTTCCAATTTTCAAAAGCTTTAAAGCCCCACTGCACTACTTATAGCTACTTGCGCCCTCTATATAGCAAACAATGCTTAATCGGTGCATGTTGGTCCCCCATGATCCCCTTTTTCTTCACTTAATTGAGAGCTGATTTGATGAGATAACCACCTGTCAGTGACCATGCAGGGAGGTATAATCCCTCCTGGCCAGCTAGTGCAGAGGCCTTATGTTAGAAATACATCTCCATATCAATGGAAAGCTGAATGAACGTAGAGTTGTATTATAAAGCGCGCTATACAAGAACCCAATATTGTTATTATTTTAGGTCAACAACTTCTGATTTTCAAAAGTTTTTGTGATTTTGCCTCCTTAGGATCGCACGTCACAGGCACATCCATGGTCCCGAGATCCTGGACGAAGGCGACGATGATGAGGAAGACCATGAGGAGGAGGACTACCTCGCCCATCGCAGCCGAGACTTCGGGAGCAGGGTACGCGATCGACATCGGGAGGAGAGCTCCGAAGAAGAAGAAGCCGCTGAGGAAAAGGAGGATGAGGGGTATTCAAGGAGTTTCCGCGAGGTCGACCGTCGAGATCAGGCACCGAGCAAGACCTATCGGATGGAGGTTGAGGAGAGCTCGTCTGACGAGGAGGAACTCGATGAGGAGGAGATAGAGCGTAGGAGAGCTGCGATGCGGGCTAGAGCTAGGCAGAGAGTGCAAGAGGATATAGAGGTACAAGTGAATTTATTGATTCAATATCTATTTGTGTACATGGGGATTATAGTTACTTGAGTAGAGAGCGACCATAGCTAGTGGAATAGAGATAGTTGCATCAACGGAAGCTGTGCTCATTCATAGGTCAATTTCATGGTGCACACAAATAATTTCCTTTTCCAAGAGTGCAAGAGGATATAGAGGTACAAGTGAATTTGTTAATTCAGTATCCATTTGTGTTCATAGGATTATGAATAGTTGAGTGAAGAGGGACCATAGCTGGTAGAATACATAGTTGCATCAGCAGAAGCTGTGCTCATTGAGAGGTCCAATTCATGGAGCATGAAAATAGTTCCCACATATAGCTAGGTGAAGAGTGCAAGAAAATGTAGAAGTTAAATTATTGATTGAATGTCCATTTGTGTACATGGGACCATAGCTAGTAGAGTAAAGAGAGTTATGTCACAGGAAGCTGTGTTCATCCAGAGTCCGAATCTATTCACTGAAACAACTTGTTTATTTTTTATTTCAACCACAAAGGAAGAGGAAGTCCATCAGATTTAACACATCCTTACACAGGAGTCAATAACATTGTAGATATGCGATATGCAATCCAGAAAATTAAAATCCATAACCTTTTGCATGTTATTCCTATAAATGAAAAGCATTTGTAAACATTCTATGCATGCAGTGGAGAAAGGACTTATTAATTGCTTGATTTATTTCAAAGAGAGCTAGTATTTATAATCAATTGTTTATTCATTTCATTTTCATATAAATACAATCAAAGCAAATAAACGTTTATGCAATACAACAAATCAATGGAAAAAAAAAAGTAATTAATATCATCGGCAATGTATTAAAAATGTTTCACTCTTTACAATTTCTTTAAATTGAAAAAGGAGAACTTTTTTTAAAAGCCTATGATGGCTTTGTGAGACAAAGTTCCCACTATTATTGAAGAAGAAAGCAACCAGATTATTAACCCACGACCTTTGACCTATTTTAGGTCATGGGAATCGAGGACGACAACAAGAAGGAAAAGGTCGATTCGGATGAAGAGGAATCGTCAGAATACGAGGAGTATACCGACTCGGAAGAAGAAGATGGGCCAAGATTAAAACCAGTCTTTGTCGCCAAGTAAGTACTCTCGGTAGACATACAGTTGGGAGGGATTTATAAATTACTAAATTTTCTTTTGAAGGCATCGTTTAACAATGTTAAGTCTGAGATGCATGACCCTACATGGTATCAGTGTCTGTGATATGGTGTAATATTGAAGCCCTAAAAAATATCATTGCAGCATGAGCTAAATCACGATTTTGTTTCAGAATCTGAGACAAAGTTATTCGATCCCTTTAAAGAAAACTACACAATTTCTTGCTGTAACCTTTGACCTGTGTGTATGTTGGTTGGATTGTGGGAAAATATACGTTACCTGATACTTTGGTGGCGAAACATGAAATTTTGTTTCTAACAAATCGTGAATGAAATGAAATGGAATTACCCTTTTTAATGCTCTTTCATATAATGTTTTCAGACAAATCATTGTATTTATGGAAAGGAACCCATCCTGTTTTATTTGTAATAATCAAATTGATTGTCATTGATTGTTTGATGTTTTCAGGAAAGATCGCGTCACCATTCAAGAAAAGGAGAGAGCTGCCATGAAAGAACAAAATTTTGTTTGAATGTTTTTAGGAAAATCATTAAATTTAAGGAAAGGAACCAATTTTTTTCATTCATTACCACATAATGTCATTGACTGTTTGATGTTTTTAGGAAAGATCGCGTCACCATTCAAGAAAAGGAGATAGCTGCAATGAAAGAACAGGAGCTAGAAGAAGAAGCTAAGCTCAAGGCAGAGGCCAGGAAAAGAGAAACAATAAGAGTAAGTCTTCCAATCAATGTATGGAACATCTTACAAGCTCTGCATTTCAGTGGATCCCTCCATTTCCACAGGTTTATCTTAAACAACTTTTTTAAAAACATTATCCTGGATGTTTATGTATGCTTTCTATTTCATAACTTTAAAGGTTCTAAATTGTTCTCCTTCTCCTATTCCTCCTCCTCCTCCCCCTCTTTTGCATCATCTTCTTCTTTTGTTTTGTTCTTCCCTTATTTTCAAATATTTGTTCAAATAATTTTTCATAAAAAATGTATTTTTGTTTAGATGGTACAGATGGATGCAAGGCAGACTCAGCAAGTCTGATCTGATGAGCCTAAGCTCCTTTCTCTCCTCCTTTCTCTACTCTTCCTCTTCTCATTCCTCTTCGTCATCTCCTTCTCCTTCTTCTCTTGCTCTTTTTCCACATCCTCCTTCATTCTTACTCTTTTGTTCGTAATTCCGCAAATAATTCTTTATTTTTCATGATTTTTTTTCTTTCTTCAGATGGTAGAGAATGATGCGAACAAGATTCATCATCTTCTTCTTCTTCTTTCTAATTGTTTTTTTAAAAAATTCATTAAAAATCTATCTTTGTTTAGATGGTAGAGAATGATGCGAACAAGGTCCAGGAACCGGAAGAAGATGTCGGAACAAATGAGCCTAACCTCCTGACCGTGAACACAGATGATGAGAACGATGAAGTAGAGTACGAGGCGTGGAAAGTTCGGGAACTGCGCAGGATCAAGCGCGACAGGGACGAACGTGAACAGTGAGTAATGTTTTGTAGCTTGGAAACAGTCAGGACATGATCAAAAATAGTTACAGTCAAACCTGTCTATGAATTTATGTATTATACATACATTACATAATATGTATATGTAAATGTACTCTTGTCATAATTAATAAGTTTTCAAGATGATTGTCTCGTATAACCTGTCTGTAAAGACACCTGTTTACATTTCCCTGGAGCAGTCTTTATAGGCAGTTTGTCTGTTTTGTCAGGTAAACTATTTTTTGCTTGATTTTATTCATTCTTATTATAGACAATTTTTTTTTTGATGATTGGTACACTTTACCTTGGTCATCTGTTAAACACACGGTTCACATTTTGAGGCCCGCCGCAGCATTAATGTCCTTTGGCAAGACATTAATCTACATTTATTTTGCCTTATTTTGCCACCCTCCACCCAGGTAAAGTAAATGGGTTCCAAGTAGGAAGAAATTCCTTGAATGCCTTATTATAGCTGCTCAGCTATGGCTGGGGTATTAATTTTTCATTTTGTTGTAAACGCAGTAGAGTATATTCACATACTCGCTGTGTTTTATAAATGGACCTATTATTAAGCAAATAATTAACGTTGGTGATAGTGATGGGACAAACTATCACTTCCGAGGCGATCTGGATGTAGCTATCTTTCCGAAGCGAAACTGAGGAAAGATAGCGTATACATTCAGATCGCCGAGGAAGTGATAGTTTGCCCTCGCTTAAAACCTACAGGTGATTATTTGCTTTTTATTCCACACCGGGAACATCTCACTTCTTCCGTAATTTAAGAGCAACAAATCATCAATTAACAGCTAGCAAACGGTGTACAATACATACAGTGCATGCATTAATACGTACGTACGTATACAAGAAAGTGTGTTGCACTGTGCAGATAGTACTACTATCTGCACAGTGCAACAAACTTTTCTTCTCCCATGAATGATGGGCGAACTATCTTTCATCACATGATTTACTTTTGACCAATCTTAGCGCAATATTCTTTGTATGTGGAATATAATATTAACTAATCACTTGTGATTCATTCCTCCTTTGTGATCTAGGATCGAGAAGGAGCGGCAGGAAACGGAGAGGCTGAGGAACATGACGGAGGAGGAGAGAAGAGAAGAACTGAGACAGAATCCCAAACAGATTACCAACAAACAGAACAAGGGACGATACAAGTTCTTACAGAAGTACTACCATCGTGGTGCTTTCTATTTGGTAAGTTCTAAAGGTCTCTTGTTTATATATATATATATTTATTTACTTTTAATTGGTATTGGTATTTATTTAAAAAATTCCCTATGCCAGGCCAAGGGCTGAATTACGTTGATTTTACAAAAGTAAATGACAATAATCAAATTGTCGTGCAAATCTATACATGTATCATAGTCTTACAATAAGCTGAAGGAGAAAAACAGAGAGAGAGTGAGAGAGAAAGGAGGGAAAAAGAAACAACGATAGAAAGGTAGAAGTGTGACATTCTAGAGGAAGAAGAGATTATGGATCACATAATATATGAGTGGATTAATTAACTAAATAATTATCTGTTGTATCCCTTGCTCAATCTAAATCATGGTATAAGGCCATTAAAACAAATAAACATGTTTAGCGTCCCTGCCCGCTTCCTTTTTGGGGGCCGCCTCCTATTTTTTTTTGAATTTTTTTTTTAAAGAAAAAAAACACTGCTAAAATGGATCTATTTCTGATTTTAAAAAAAAAAAAAAAATTAATTGTCGGCGGCTATCTTGAAAAATATCCAGACTGTCAGGGAAAATGGACCGAGCGGCCATTTCGAGCGGCCATTTTGAAAGCAAAAAAAAGGGCCTCCTTCCTATTTAAAAAAAAAACAGGACGCTAAACATGTTTTTTTTTTTTTTTTTTTGGCCTAATATAAATAATTGTAGTATGTCATAGCCATAGTTAGTGTGAATCGTCAAATTTGTAATACCTTATATCCAATCTTGATTCATGAAAGAAAATTTGTCTCTTTTATTGCAACTCAATATTGGTTGATGAATAGTTTAGTTAATTTCATACCATGTTCAATATGCATATTTTGGTTGAGTTATTACATTTTGTTATACGTTTCTCACGATGACAAGAAGATATAGGGCACTAGCATCATGTTTAGTGTAAACACATTTCATTTTCCTTCCTATAATGGGTAAATTGAAGGGTGGTAGCATCCATCTCGCATTCATTCTGAACGCATTTCATCTATTGAACCACGCTTTGTTCTACGTTTCAATGCAGGATGATGAGAAGGAGGTACTGAAGAGAGACGTTTCTGGAGCCACGCTTGAAGATCACTTTGATAAGACAGTCTTGCCTAAAGTCATGCAGGTAACGGAGTTTTATTTGCAATTTCTCTTGAAGTAATAAATCAATGACAATCTTTCAAGAGTTTAAATAATTCCCACACTCAACCCAGGAACAAGCATACATTACCTAACCTGGGGGTGTTTCATAAAGATCCTAAGTCAAACCTAACTCTAAGTTGGACTTAAAAAACAATGGAGAGCCATTTGTAGCCTTAATTTTAAATATTTCCAAAAGCAAAAATTGAAGTATTTTAGACTTTTCATTAATACCACATCAAGAACATGAAATCTCCTTGATAATAGAAAATATGAATGATTTTAATCAACATTTTATGCCTTTTGAAATAACTTTTACAAAATATTTTCAATGATGCTTACGGTTTTCCATAATTGTTAAGTCCAACTTAGAGATAAGTTCAACATAATATCTTTGTGAAACACCCCCCTGAACCCTAATTGCAACCGTAGCCCTCATATCTTTGATGAAGTAAAGCCAGGGCCCTGCTTCATGAAACTTGATATCAATAACAAGTTTACAATAACTGTTATAAGCTACTGAAATCATGGCATCTGATTGGCTGAGAGGAAATTTGTCATAGAAATTTTGCAGTTGTTATAGATAACCGGTTTTATGAAACTGGCCCCTCATTGATTGTTGAAAGTACCCCCCAAATTTTTCTCTTCCCCCAGAACTTCAAAATATGAACAGGGGCTCACCAGTACAGATCATAGAGAATCTAGTATAGACCTTCTAGTTGAACGTTAGTTTGTGGCTCTACAAGAAAGGGCTATTTTGTACACAAAAAAGCCTAAAACTATGGCCTGAAAATAAATCGCCAGGGCCTGAAATCGGGCTTTTGACTGAAATCTGGCATCCCTGCTTACATTTAAGCAGGGATGCCAGTAGTTCAGGCCCTGGCAATTTATTTTCAGGCCATAGTTTAGGATTTTTTGTGTACCAAATAGCCCATTCTAGGAGATGATTTTCAGGCCCTCTGATCAATTCTAACTGGCATCCCTGTTCATGAGTTGCAAGTTCTGGGTATGAAAATAATCGTGGCCGCTTTCCAAAATACAGGGCTACTTGGGTCTTTTCGTGCTTGTTTCATCCAAACACCAACATCATTTGTACAAATGGAAAAAACGTAGTTGTAATTATACATATGTATGTTGCTCTTTCTCTCTTCAGGTCAAGAACTTTGGACGTTCCGGTCGGACCAAGTACACTCATCTCGTTGACCAGGACACCACGACCATGGAATCACCTTGGGCCAACGAGACAGCCCTCTCCAGGAAGTTTCAGTCCTCCGGCGCCGGGGGCTTGAAGCAGAGCTTTGAGAAGCCCTCAGGAAGAAAGTCACGGAAGGGCGACGCCCAATGAGATGATCATAGCTAGGTTAGAGACAAAGTTGTGACAGACAATGCTAACATAGGACAATTCCTCATGTCGGAAGCTTTTCAAGAAAGTTTCAGGTGTCTATTACTGGCTCCAGGAAGAAGAGCTATGAGACATCCAGAGCAAGAAAGGGCGCAACGCAGTGAAACGATGCATAGCTAGTTGAGAGACGAAGTTGTGACGGACAATACTTGCATAGGTCAATTCAGAAAAAAATTCATAGAGCTTTTCAAAGAAGTTTCAGGTATACTTCACTAGAGCCAGGAAGCAGAGCTTTGAGAAACCAGCATCAAGAAAGTCCTGGAAGGGCGCAACGCGATGAGACGGTGCATAACTAGTTGACAGACAACAGTCAATGGTTATATCTATAGGTCAATCCATGTACTGTAATATCAGAAAGCTTTTCAAGGAAGTGTCGGGTTTCCTTTGCTGTGCTACGCAACGAGACGATGCACAGCTAGTTGAGAGTGATAGTTTGACAAGCAAGCGCATGAATTTATGTCTTGAAAAACAAGACAATTTGGAAAAGCTTCAGAATGAAGTTCTCTGCATCTGTTACAGGCAGCATGGCACAGAGCTTCGAGGAACCTACAGTGAGAAATTCAAGAAAGGTGCAGTGACTTGAAATGGTGCACCATGTGTAAAGTGTAAGTGACTCAAAGGATGCTCAAAGGACACGCTGGGTTTTGACTTATTCGCCCCTGGAACTCTCAAAATGGTCTCTGCAGACTTTTTTGTTTGTTGGTCCTGTAGGAATGGACTCCACAATGTGATCACACCCAAGGCATATCAGAGCCCTGTTTCATAAAAACATGTTATCAATAACAAGTGCTAAATGGCAAATCTACTATCAGCCGATCCAATGCCACGATTTCAATAGCTTACAACAGTTATTGTAACTTTTAATTGATAAGGAGTTTTATGAGACAGGGCCCAGATGGGCTTCTGTCATTAAAACACACGTTTTCCATTCACATGCATAACCTTAGTCTGCATACTCAAACCCTTTTCTTTTTTTGACACTTACTATAATTTACAACACTTTCAATAACTGTTAATTTTTGGGGGAGAAGCTCTTACTTTATACAAACTGCAAATGTTCATCATTGTGATTTTGTACCATGTTATAATTTAATTTTTGTGAATTTAGACGATTCATGAACAAAAATTGAAAATAATGTGTCGTTAAATACTATCAACAAAACCCATCTTGGTTTCCGCCTATCCTAGCTTACACAGCAGGACATGGGCTATATGAGGCACTTTTATTTGTTTGCTAGAAGTTTGTCAAGAAGCATAGGGCCTACGTAGGTATTAGTCTACATCCAACATATTTCAGACTCTGTTTTGTTGGTGTAAAGTTCAGGGTCTCATAACACAAAACTTGGCAGTTGATCGTACAATCACGTAGCCGCCAACCATTCATAATATGGAGGAACGGTTCACAATTTTTCAGCCTTAAAGTTTTTTTATCCTTTGGTTCCTCTACTTTTCTATATAAAAACAAACATCTGTGTGACATGCATACAAAGTACACTATCTTCCTAATGATGTCTTTAGAAATTCCTAATGTAAGCTTTGAAAGATTGCCCTGTATGCAATGACGCAATCATTTGATCACTATAATGATGAACTTATTTGCAAAATAAAAATCAATATATTATTTTTGTAATGTAATCACATGTAATGCACAAATCTTTGTCAAGTGCCTCGTTACAAATTATTCACCTGTTACGAATAATTGTATCTCAATGGTCGGAATGCATATTAAACTACAGTATTTGTTACTAGGTAGGACAAACATCACATAATATACAAATAATACACATCAGTGAGGGCATTAGTATGAATTACCCACACGAGGTACCTTTGCAACAGTCTAACACGCGCGAGGCGATAGGGCTGTTTTGAAGGTACCAAGTGTGGGTAATTTTACTAATGCCCAAACAAAATGATATGTATTATTTGTTTTATAAGATTTTATTTTTAAATGATGTTTTCTAACATGATTTTGATAATGACCGGTCATTACCCAAATTGCGCGCGTTTGCGCGCTAGGCAAAATAAATGCCTGGTCACGTGTACGCTTTCAACCAATCATTTGATTAGGATCCACGTCATCATCTTATAATAAATTATATTTGCATTGTTACTATTGAAATACAATTATTCATGGAATCATTCGTACCAAGGCACTTCACGAAGAGTATAATTTGTTTACATTACGAGAATGGCTTATTTGCTAACTTGACTTTATGTTACAAGGTCCAAATCCTGACTTCTATACAAGGTCTGAAACTGGAGACTAGTATAATCACACTGTCCTATTCATGTGTCTGGATATTGTGTTCATGAGCACACACAAAGCAAACAACAGACCCAGGGCTAACGCACAGTGAAGCCAGCTACCTTCAAAACCTGAACAAAAGAAGGTCTGAAGCTAGAGACTAGTATAATCCCACATTTCTCTTCATGTGCCAGCCTAATGTGTTCATGGGCACATACAAAGCAAACAAAAGAATCAGGGCTATTAAACGCACAGTGAATCCCGCTACCTTCGAAACCTAAACAAATGGAGGAGGTCAGATAGGGGATTAGTGTTGTAAAGAAAAGAATTCTTTAATACATGACCTTGCTTCACAGATAATTATAGCACATGAAAGTTAAATATAATTGCATAGTTTAGGGTCCTGCAAAAGACGTGTTTACCAACATATTCAAATTGATGAATGTTTCTTTCCTTGGGACCTGTGACGAGTTATTCCATTAACCTGTTATTAATGAATGAGCTACAATACATTACTAATTCCCATGTCGGGTAAGGTTTCGTTATTAGGGACTTTTAGATTTGTGTGGACTGATATGTGTGACGTGCAAATCTAAAAGTCCCTATTGTCAAGAACAACCGTTTTGTAAAAAGTAGGCTACTGCAACTGTCCCGCCATAATAATGTACCATCAATTTATGTTGATTTAAATGGTAGCTTTTTACAAGCCAGACAATAACATTAAACTTCAATATGGTCATTTAAAAAATATATGGTTTTTGTCTGCCTTGACAAATCTGTTTCCCCTTAACTGTTATTATTTATACATATTTTTTTAAATTTAGATAATTTGATGGGTTTCATTTCCTGGTTGACTTTAAAAGAGTCTTCTGATATTCACAATTCAATGTCTGATGCCTGGTCCATGTTTCACGTAACTTGTTACCAATAACAAATTATGAGTTGATTTAAGTTACTGAAAACATTTAATATGAGTGCCTGTCAGTCAGTGTCACCAAAATCTATTACAGCATTGTGTTAGTACGGTTAGATGTTATTATTCATAACAAGTTTATTATGAATTTGGGCGTAGATCTGAAAAATGTGCACTGTCTTCATTGATCATGTAAATTTTCTTTTACTGTTATGAGGATTTGTTTGAAACTCATTTAAAATAAGAGAAATTTTGACTCTATTCAGTGTTGCAAAGTCATTTCATACATGTATAAATTGTTGTATAGAATTCTTTAATAAGATGTGTAAATACATTGACAAATAAACAAATTTCTGTCTTATTGGTCTTTATTACCGTTGGTAAATTTGCCTCGTTCAGTTATGACCCAGTAAACCACCACCCCCCCCCCCCCTCCCCCCAAAAAAGAGCAGTGTAATTTTTAAAAAAGTGTAAATGAAGTGCAACTGAAGAAAACAAATGGGAATTGGCTTCCAACTTATACATTTTAATTGTATAATTCCAGATGTTTGTACATGATTCAAAATTAATTCGACCATTTTTGTTGAATTAAGAATAACTCCCTCTAATTACAAAGAAGTTCAGAACCTAAGACTGTAAAATTTCATGGACTATACACAAGTCTGCAAAAGTAACTTATTGCCTTCAAGAAAAGAGTAATTCCAGAAAAAATTGCTAGAGACGTACAGATAAAGATGGAGAGAGGGAGATAGAGAGAAGAAGATGATGGATGGTGAGAGAGAAATAGAGAAGGATTTGGAGAAGATAACAGACAGATAGACAGAAAGACATGTGGAAGAGAGAGATTGGACATTAGATTTATTAGATGAGTTGACAATGTAGTATATGTTTGAAAGACACATACAAGTCAAGGAGTTTGCATTTTTGATTTCGATGGCACGACGAGAAATAAAACTGTGCTGTCTTTTGTCGGTAGGTGGCGCTCTCAACTTCAAGTTTCGCCAGGACCTTCCACAGTGCACAGATCTTGCTTCTGAATGACACACCGTCCAGTATACCCTACTTGAGTGGCGCAGCTGGGAGGGGCAAATAGGGCGAGGGGGGCATTCAGACAGAAAGCCTTTAAGCATCATGTCTATGAACAATTATTTTCAAAATGACAAATTGCCCCCTTCCTGGTATATCGATTTATGACGAAGTGTGCCCCTGACTTGGTGGGTAGATCTATACCCAAGCAATAATTGTTTAGTTTTAAGTTAGCCCTTTCCTCACAAAATGTGCTCTTGATGATTATCTATGTGCCCCTTCTCGTGTCAACAATGCTCTTCATGCAATGAATATTTTACTTTTGGACATTGTTCCGACGACGGTCCGTAACTTTTGCGACAAGAAAAAAAACACGATTGTCTCTCTTTGCCGGGCGCTATATAACCGGACACTCGCCAAACAATTTTATTAGTCCCCTTTTTTCTCTTTTTTTTCGTGAGCGGTAGATAGTTTTATTATGAATAATATTATGAAAGCAAAAGGTTGCCAGAACATTTTAAATGAGGGTGAGGGGGGGGGGTCGGACCCGGGGTCGGACCAATTAGTACCTACAATTCAGCTGAAGTCGTACTACAAGTCATAATTTTCTCCTTTTCATAATACATCAATATATCTCTTTTGTAAATATTTCCCATGTGTAATTGCCCCTATAGTTTGTTTGTTATGGTAGTTTAGTTGTTAAGTATTTTTCTTCAAAGAAATTAAAGCATTCAGGTATTATATTCTGTTTGGGGACCTTGCTCTAACAAGCCCAGCTTCTATAAGATCCCATCTTTCTTTCATGTACATAACATGATCTAACATAAGTAACTTTTGTATAGAATTTCTTTAGTTAATAACAAGAGTTGTATGTTGAACATTACTATTGCACTTCAAATTATGTTTGTTATATTGATGATTTACTGTTCCAGTTACCTTATTTGAAATTCAGAATTTCAAATAGAATATCACATAAAATCTAAGTACAAATGTTTGTGAACGAAGAAATAAAATGAACTATGAACTATAATTTGCTGTGAAGGGAAATAACGGTTGTCGGATTTTTCAAATTGGCAGACAGAATATCTTCATAATCTGCTAAACAAGCTCTTCAAAATATCAACAACTTTCTTTAAAGATTTGCTAACAGCTTAGGTATTTATAAAGTCGAATTTGCCGACAGGCAAAAAAGAACTTCACATCCCCCCCCCCCCCCCCACCCCTCTCTCTCTTGCGACGCCTCCGTTTGAAAGTATATTCTGCTAATACATTGCATCTAACATAATATTCACACATAAACAGTATAACTATGACTATCAAGATCTCAAATTGATATACCACTGTAATAATTTGCAAACGCGGGTTAACCATTTTGTCGAGAAGTTGGCGGTTGAGGAAATAATCTGCTAAAACAAAAATTATTTCCCGAAATTAAAAACTCTTTTATGGCTATCCATCTTCCAAATACACCATGTACTTTTTCAAACTCTAATATTTTTATACACAATGTCTTTCTTAAAATATTTTTTAATGAAAGTTCTTATTCCTAGAAAACGGATAAAGTGTAATAAGATGCTATCAAAATTATCTTCACCAGTGAAAGAAACAAACAACAGAATAATAAAGGGAAAACTATCGTTTTTACGTTCCGTAGACAGTATCGGACTTCCTATGCTCTCTTTACCTGCTATATCATAGCTTTGAAGAAAAAAAAATTAAGTAATTTGTAGCTTTTTGATTGAATTTTATCAGACAAGGGATATGAACATATCTTTAAACATTTTTTTCAAGAGGAAGTCTGTAAGAGAGGGAAAAGTGGGAGCATGGCTGATTAGATATTTATCTAAGATTTGGGAGTGAATACAAAATTTAAAAAATTGTTTCAGAGAAAGAGTGAAAGAGCATGTAAAGAGAATTTAAAAAAAATAGGAAACGTGAGGGAGTAGATGAGAGAAAAGATGAGAGAAAGAGAGACAGATACATGTAGGGAAGTACAGAGAGAGAGAGAGAGAGAGAGAGAGAGAGAGAGAGTCATGATCCCCACTCCATTAAACTTTTAATTGACTATAAAAGTGATATTCTATACTGAAAAATATACTAAGATTATTTTCTAGAGTTATCATCATAATATTATGATATAAATATTATGATAACAATTATTATTATGATAAGCTAATGTTATTTTATCTATAACTTCGGAAACTGAAATTTCTCTTTGTTTGTTTACATAATTATGTTCGAATTTGATTCAGCATTTACACGAGGAAATACAGCTATATTATATATATGGATGAAATAATAGTTCAAAAACGAAGGGAGTAATCTACACCAATACAAGCACTTTTTGTAAGTGGATTTCTCAATTTCCTTTAGAATACTACTCAATTTATAACAATACTATGTCTATAATATATAATATACCTTGTATATATTATATCGAAACTTGCGTTTATTACTTATCGACATTTTAATATTGTGTAACCACAAATAGGTTTCATTTTCAACGACGTTTGTTACATTGTAAATGCCATTTTATATCAAGTATGTACGATTTGATTGAGTTTTGGAAGTAAAATTATTTGAATTGAATTTTCGAACTGAATTGAAAGCTATAAAGAAGGGGAAAAAAGAAAGAAGAAAATAAGAAAATGGAAGAAAAAAAATTAGGGGGAAATGTGCAAAAAAAAGGGTAGGACAAAAAAGGCAGACTTTTAAAATATAATTATTTAATATTTTGGGAGGATGGGAGGTCCATAACAATCCACACTTCATTTTGAAATTCAATATACCCCTTTGAATACGTACAATCATAAAAATCATACAAAATCATATACAATAATAAAAAGGGATACGATAAAATAAAATTTAAAACTAAATTGAATTATGAATGAGGTTTGCAATCCC